GACTGGAACATTTTGTCATTGTACAAAGCCGGGGAAGTGATCAAAGACTACAGGGTTCTGTCAAAAAGATTAAAGAACCAACTGAAAGGGGATTCCACTGGCTAAAATTGGGCTAATTGGAGCACTGTATTTATAAAAACACATCAAATATGTTAAAATTAATGAGTTCTTGATACTAAACAGTAACATTTCTTGGTTACATTTGGAAGTCACAAGGGAACCAACTGGTATAATGAATCTTTATTTACCCATTACCCAATAATTATTAACTAATGGCTAATTCGTATCTCATCTATACCACCACCTACTTCTCCATGGCTCAGATCATTTAGAGCAAATCCCTGACATTACATCTTTTCATCACTAAATATTTCAGTATATATCACTTAACACAAAGACTTCTTTTTTAACCTAACCTCAATACCATTATTAAACCTAAAAACAGTTAACAGTACTTTCTTAATATTATCAATTATCTACTGATAATATTGTCACTATTCAAATTTATATTTTTGAAAACTAATAATTAAGGGGAAATAATCAAGAATTTATTCTGCCTTTGATATATGAACTGTATCCCAGGGTAACCAAATAGTTGAGGAGATGTTTCTTTTTGTAGCACTATTACAGTTAGTAAATGAAGAAAGAAGGATTGGAATATTACCATTTTGCAACTGTAAGTGAATTAGTCCTCCTAGGCAATGATTATCATTTGCTAACAGCATAAGACATTCGGACATTAAACGCTTCCTGCTGGAAGTACACAACATCACTTACGAAGTTTTCTTGCCAAAAAAATCAAACCTGAATCTGATCAAGACTCTAGATCTAACTATCAATTAACAGGAAATAAAGGGGACAGACTAACATGTTAACACCATGAGAGTACAGATGGTAAAATCCAGACTATGGGAAACAACAGGACATAACCCAGTTTCTTCAACCACAGAAAATTTCAAGAGAAAAGAACGTGTAAGGGAAACTTAAAGATCAAAAGAAATCTAAGAGACTTCGCAACCAATCAAAATGATTGTACCTTATTTGTATCTTAATTCCAACAAACTGAAGACAAAAAAGGACAATTGGAAAAAATTTGAACAGTGACTAGATACTGTGATAATATTTACTAATATTTATTATAATATTTATTAACAGATAATATTTATTAACAGTTACTGTTAATTGTTTTTATGTTTAATAATGGTATTGAGGTTGGGTTAGAAAATCTTTGTGTTTTTAGTGATATATGCCGACGTATTTTGTGATGAAATGATATGATGTGAGGGACTGCTCAAAATGATCTGGGCTGTGGTGGTAGTACACATGAGATAAGAATTACCTATTAGTTGATAATTGTTGGAAACTGGGTAATGGGGCTTCATTATACCAGCCATTCTCAAAGTGTGGTTGCTGGACCAGAAGCTTGTGCACCACCTGGGAACTTGTTAGAATGCAAACACTTTGGCCCCCACCCTAGATCTACTAAATCAGAGAAACTGGAGCCCAGCCATTTATTTTAACAATCCCTCTAGGTAATTCTAATACACATTAAAGTTTGAGAACCACTGCTTTATGTTATTCTTCCTATTATACTTTATGTTTGAAATTCTAATAAAAAGTTTCAAAGAAAAAAATTAGCTTGATGAATGTAAGAAAAATTTATACATAACAAAGAGAAGCTGGATTAGTGGATAAAACAAGGGTCGTGTAATCTCAAGTGTTAGCAAATTCATTGGCTTGGTATTAACAGTGAGTCAGCAGCTAATGATAGTCTTAAAGCGAATCACAGATTTTGCTTTTCTCTTAGAACAGTGGTTCTACATTAAAATCACCTAGAGAACTTTTTTTTAAAATTAATTAATTTATTTTTGGCTGCGTTGGGTCTTCATTGCTGTACACGGGCTTTCTCTAGTTGCAGTAAGCGGGGGCTACTCTTCTTTGCCGTGCGCGGGCTTCTCATTGAGGTGGCTTTTCTTGTTGCATGGACTCTAGGCACGTGGGCTCAGTAGTTGTGGCTAATGGGCTCTAGAGCGCAGGCTCAGTAGTTGTGGCGTGCAGGCTTAGTTGCTCCATGGTACGTGGGATCTTCCCGGACCAGGGCTCGAACCCGTGTCCCCTACATTGGCAGGTGGATTCTTAACTACTGCGCCACCAGGGAAGCCCCCAGAGAACTTTTAAGAACATATCCAGACCCCACCCCAAGAAATTCTGGATTTATTTGGTTGTATTCCTGGCTTTTGGTAATTTTTTTGAAAAAAGCTTCCCAGATGATTCTAATGTACAGAGTTGAGGACGAGTGTCCTAACTTTATGATGCTTAAGAATCTCCTGAAGAGCTCATTAAAAGTTTCCTGAACAACCTAAATGTCCATTGATAGATGAATGGATAAAGAAGATGTGGTATATATATATGCAATGGAATACTACTCAACCATAAAAAAGAACTAAGTAATGCCATTTGCAGCAACATGGATGCAACTAGAGATTATTATACTAATTGAAGTATGTCAGAAAGAGACAAATACCATATGAAATCACTTGTGTGTGGAATCTAAAATACTGTATGACACAAATGAACCTATCTACGAAACAGAAATAGACTCATGGACATAGAGAACAGACTTGTGGTGGCCAAGGTGGTGGTGGCGGGGGGTTGGGGGAGGGATGGAGTGAGAGTTTGGGGTTAGCAGATGTAAGCTATTATATACAGGGTGGATAAACAGCAAGGTCCTACTGTATAGCACAGAGAACTATATTCAATATCCTATGATAAACAATAATGGAAAAGAATATTTTAAAAATATTTATATGTATAACTGAATCACTTTCCTGTACAGCATAAATTAACACAAGATTGTAAATCAACTATACTTCAATAAAAAAATTTTTAAAAAACAACAGGCTAACAACAGCAAAACGTTTCCTGGTCCTCATCCACTAGAGGGTCAGATTCAATAGGATGGTGCGGGGCCTATTAATTTGCATTTCTAACAAGATCACAAGTGATATAGATGGTGCTGGCCTGAGCACATTTTGAGTAACACTACCTTAAACAAAGGGATAGTTTGGTCAAAGAGATTAGCATAAGTGAGAGGGATAGGTAAAAATTCATCTTCAGAGTTCTTGCTGCTAGCACCACTAAATTACATCCAGGGAGGCTGTTTCATTTCTTTCTAGTGGTTGGAAATGCAAATGTGAATCCAGTGTTCCATGGCTTATTTGGAGAAGAAAAGAGACTTGGAGCATTAAAAGTCTCTTTAAAAGCACAAATGGTAAGCACAGGGAATGTAGCCAGCATTTTATAATAACTTTAAATGGAGTATAATCTAAAAAAATTTTGAATCTCTATGTTGTACACCTGCAACTAATATAATGTCGTAAATCAACTATACCTCAATTTTAAAAAAAAGGACAAATGATAAATCTTTTTGATTTGCCAATAAAAATTATTAACTTTACTGATTGGACAAAATATAACCCTGTCCCCTCAAATTTAGCAACTATTCAAGACTCCTTCTCTGATGATTTGCTTGTGCTTGTATTTTTTTTTTTTTTATTACTAGAGTAATTGCAAAGAGGAAGAAATCATTTAATTTTTTAGAAGGTAAGAATTTAATATAACTTGGGTATCATGGTTCATGTGGACTCTGAAAGAAGTCAGAGGAATATAGGGTGATGATAATATCTAAAATTTCTTTTCATTTTCTCTTCTAGGATCAGGCATGAGTTCTTAGATAAATATTTGTATGTTTAATTTTAGTAAGATTTTTCTGGGTGATTCGGTTCTTTGGGTATTTTTAAATCATGCTTTACAGTAAATAGTTTAAAAATATGAATTTTATGTATATATATTTATGCTGCTGATGAAGCAAAGCTTACAGTTTGTTCATTACCTTCATAGTAACATTATCATAGAGCCTTTTACTTAAGCAATAGCTAGAGATTTGAAGGGGGATGGGAAGGAGTTGAAAAAAAGTGTCATTGGGTAGTAAGAGTCATACAGCCTTTTTATTGGATATGTGAACTTTTATTGGGAATTTAAAGTCTTGTTTTATAGTAGTGTGGATTAGTGAATTTTTTCTATTTTCTCCAAATTTTATGTCAGTGAGCCCATAGCTGATAACAAATATTAAAACGAACAAATAAAAAACCAATGTACAAAAATAAATGCCCACCCAAGGGCAACAACAACAAAAAATCAAGACTTAATTTGACTGTAGTCTGTAAGGTTAAAAGAATGGAAAGAGACTATAAATAAATTTAGTCAAATAAATAAATCATCCTTCTAGTAAATATGTATGTTTCATCTGAAAGAATGAAAGAAAATGCATATAATACCATCTTTGAAAAAGTTTTTTTTTTTCTTACTGTCTTATTTGCACACACACACAAGAATCTCCTTTTTCCAGGTGTTGCTTATTGATATTGCTAGATTGCTTTCTCAAACATATAGATTCTAGAAGAGGTTAACTGCACTGTGAGAAAAAGAAAAAAGGAAACTATCTATTTACTTGTACTTTCATGGTTTAAGATATGTGTTTTAGAGGTGTTTTAGTTACATTGTGTGTTTAGTTTCAATTTTTAGTGACACTATTGAAATATTGTAACAAATTTTTAGATGTGTGGACTGTAGAGATTCTTATGAATTAATAGTAAGATGTCTGTTTTTTTCCTACATAATCTTTGTATTTACCCGTTTAGTATTAACTGCTTAAAATTAAATGATGTAAATCAAAATGGTGTGGGTGTTTTGCAGTTCTTGAGCGATTTCATTCTCTTTTATCATATTATGTATTCTACTGTATACTTTAAAAATCACATCTATATCTTATGTTTCAGTATGCTATCATTTTATTAAGAAAAATATTTCTAAATAATTCTAAAATAAAGATACATTCTTTAAAAAAAAATCATCCTAGTATGTTAACATATGTTCAATTTGAAACTTCTTTAAAATGTTTTTGAAATAAATTGATTCTATTCTTGTTCTTTCTTCCCCAGTGGTCATATGCTTTAGAAAAGCCCAACACTGGCAGCATATTTAATATCACATGGTCAATTGATGGCACCCAGATCGCTGGAGCCTGTGGAAATGGACATGTTGTTTTTGCACATGTGGTGGAGCAACGTTGGGAGTGGAAAGATTTTCAAGTAACATTAACTAAAAGAAGGACCATGCAGGTATGATTATGTTTCAGGTTGATTAAATCTTCTTCTTTTCACATTAGTTTACAATACAGAAAATGGAATTATCTTCATTGATTATATTTAAATCAGGTTTATAAAGATTCAGTCATACTAGAAATATTTTAACTATACTATTAGTGACTTTTTCATGACATAAAATAAGAACCTTTCACTGACGTAGAATATGAGTGCCCACAGGTACTGAAATTATGGTGTTGAGCCAGGGATGAAATTGAGGCCCCCTAAGCCCGAGTTTCTCTGCCAAGTTTATGGTTAACCTCTCTATCCAAAACATTATTCGCTTTCTTGTCCCTCACCTGTTCCCCTCAAGGTTCAGGAGTATCAAAGAAAAGAGGAGATTGAAACTGAGCAGGACCCTGTGGGGCCCTCCCTGGTACAAAAGCCCATATCTTTGAGTTGTTCTACAGAAACTAGGACCCCAACCCAGCTGGAGGATGGTGACTACATGCTTGACCACAAGCATGTAGACCCCAGACTGGTTGGAACCAGAAGGTTGAGATTTCAGAAACGTCACCCTGTTACCTCACCACCAACCAATCAGAAGAAAATCACATACCCTGCAGCCCTCACCCCAAATCTTACCTTTAAAAACTCTTCCCCCAAAACTGTCAGGGAGTTTGGGCCTTTTGAGCATGAGTTGCCCTTTCTCCTTGCTTAGCCCTTGCAATAAACCTTTCTGTGCTCCAGACTTCAATGTCTTGGTTTGTTTGGCCTCACTGTGCCTCCGGCACATGAACTTGGGTTTGACAACAGGGATAGTGAAACTTGAAGCATTGAGGGAATATGTGGATTCAGTTGAGGAAGAAGGAAGGAAGCTGTAACAAGTTAGATTTAACTGCTGGAGCTGACCTCAAGGCAGACGTAATAACCTGCTGATCACTATCAGGGTTACATTATTTTATTTATTTATAATTGTATGAGTTTATTTAACCTGATTAAAAAATATTTTTTTCCCCTTTTAAGAATTACCTAAGACAAGCTAAAATGGGAAAAAGTTAGTTGATGAAAGTTAGGAGGAGTGGCCAAAGACAATGTGTTGATGGCAAACTCTCTCCCAAAGGAAAGGGAACTCTATCTTCTTTCTTTCTTTCTCCTGTCCATAGCAGTTGCCTCTATCTTCAGTATTCTGAATTCAGATGATTATAATTACTATAAAAATTTGAGGGACTTTCCTGGCAGTCCAGTGGCTAAGATTTCGCCTTCCATTGTGGGGGGGTGAGGGTTCCATCCCTGGTTGGGCGTGGGGAGCTAAGATCCCACATGCCTTGTGGCCAAAAAACCAAAACATAAAACAGAAGCAGTATTGTAACAAATTCAATAAAGATGCTAAAAATGATCCACATCAAAAAAAAAAATCTTTGAAAAAAAATTTGGAAGCATGTATCTTGTGATTTCTTGGATGTGTCTGTTCAGGTATTCTTTAGACTGAGTATCCAGATTTTCACAGACAATCTGGATAATGGTCACCAGACTGATAATAATTAGGTACCTTATACATTTTCTTTGTTCTACTTTTTTAAAAAAAAATTTTGGCGGCACCTTGTAGCATGCAGGATCTTATTTCCCCGACCAGGGATCGAACCTGGGCCCCCTGCAGTGTGCGGAGTCTTAACTACTGGCCAACCAGGGAAGTCCCTCTACTTTCTTATTTAAAAAATTTTAAACTTATTATGGATAATTTAAGCCACACAAAAAGAGACAGAATAGTATAATGAATCTCTACGTACTCATCTCCCAGCCCTAACAGCCGTCAACCCATGATCAAACCTGCCCCATCCATGTCCATATCTACTTTCCCCCTCCCCCAGTTATTTTGAAGCAAATTCAGGTATCATTTCAGCTGTGAAGTTTTCAATATATACAGCTAAAAGATAAGGACTCTTTTTAACATACCCACAATACCATTGTCATACATTAAAAATGATAATAATTCCTTAATGTTATCAAATATCCAAGAAGTGTTCAAATTTTCGATTGTTTCTGCCATGTCACATTTTTTAAAGCTTGTTTGTTTGAATCAGAATCCAGAATGGTTTACATGTTGCAATTGATTGACATATCTTTTAAGTCTCTTTTAGTCTGTAGATTCCCCTTCCATCTCTATTTTACCCCCTGCGGTTTATTTGTTGAAACCAAATTGTTTGTCCAGCCCCATAGTGTGGACATTGCTAATTGCATCCCCATGGTGTGGTTTGACATACTTCTCTGTCTTTTGTATTTCTTGTAAATGAGTGTTTGGATCTAGGTGATAGTGTATATATATACTTTTGTTAGTCAACCTGAGAACCAAAACATTATTTATAGTATTGTGTCTATGACAAAGAATGCATTGTGAGTTCTAATCAGCTGATTTGGGGACACACTTTTACTCATGTAGTGCTTGGTGGCTAGCTAATATAGTATTGCCTTAATTTCAGAAATGCCCCAAGATGAGAATATATTTAAAAAGAGAAGTTTTTCTTTCATAATAAAAAGGAATCATCCTAGAATTAGAGGATTTTTACATAAGATAAGATGAACAGTGGAGGTTTTTAAATAGCTTATCTAATCCAAATTGTCTTTATACTTAAAGTAATGTTTGCAAATAATCTTTCAAAATTTTAGGACTAGAATAGTATTTTTATTTTTGTAAAGAGGTCTTACTCTCTCAGTGATTATAAGACATTTGTATTGCATTTTTGCTAAGCTGGGTCTATTCATAGTTTTTTCTTAGAACAATTTCATTTATTCAATGCCCTACTTGCCAGGCATTGAGCTAGGCAATGGGAAGTACAGCTGTGAATAAGACAGGTTTGGTTCCTGTTCTCATGGGACCTCCTAGATTAATATGTTGAAAATCTTTTGTTTTTTCATAAAGTCATCTCAAATTAATTGAATGAAGGTAAAGAATAAAGAAACAAAAGAAATTTATTGGTCCATGTGAAGTCAAGAGGTGGGACTGATGAGGCTGTACTGGATCCAGAGGCTTAAATAAGATCAACAGGAGTTCCATCATATCTCTTCCTCAACGGTCCTTTTTTCTGTATTGGCTTCATTTTCACAAATGCTGTCTCTCTTTTGAGGCCTTGGTAGCTCCAGGCTTACATTCTACCAACTTCAAGTCCAACAGAAAGAGTGCTTTCCCCTCCAGCCCCTTAGTAATTACAGCAGAGGTCTCAGCATTGGATCTCATGTGCCAAGTCTGGGTCAAGTATGTTTCGTTGGGAGGTGGAGGGAATGATGAGTCAACCCCATGTAAACCACTTAGTCACTTAGAATAATAGGGGGAATGGTTTCCCAAAGGAAAACCAAAGCATATTTACCAGAAAAGATAGCATTTGATTCTGGGCAGACAGAAACCAACAGATACCCACTATAGTCTATCTTTTTCGGCTGTTTAGCAACCATAACTGTATTAGTTACCGATGGCTGCATAATAAATCACCTGAAAACTTAGTGACTTAAAACAGCAACATTTATTATCTCTCAGTTTCTGTGGGCCAAGAATCCAGGCGTGGCTTAGCTGGAGTTTCTGGCTCATAGTTTCTCACAAGGCTGCAATCAAGGTGTTGGCCAGGGCTTAGTGGCACCTGAAGGCTCAGCTGGGGAGGATTTGCTTCCAAGCTCACTGATAAGGTTGTTGGCAAGATTCCATTTATCAACGTCTGTTGAATTGAGGGCAGTTGACTGGAGGCCACCCTCAGTTCCTTGCATGTAGCCTCTTCACAGGGCAGCTCACAACTTGGCAGCTTTGTCAGAGCAGTTACGAAGGGCACAGAGAGTGTGAGCAAGACGTAAGTCACAGTCTTTTATAACCTGAACTCAGAAGTGTTATCTCATCATTTTAGCCTATTTCTGTTCACTGGAAGCAAGCTACAAGGTCCAGTCTACACACAGTGGAGAGACTTACATAAGGATGTGAATATGAGGATATAGAAATCACTAATCCCCTTACAATCTACTCACCACGCATACTTTCCCTTATTCACATGTATGTATAATTCAGAAATGCACTACTTAACTTTGCAGCTATTCTATATGCAACTGAAAACAAACCCATTCCCTCTCTAAAAGATGATAACCTAGACTAATCCAGTCATTCCAGCTCCAACTCTCTGGTCTGGAAAACTATAAATAAATTCGAATTTTAATATTCTTCTCTCCCCCATATTCCCAGTTTATAATGACGAAGGGAAAACAGGGCAGCTGCGATGAAAACAATTTGGAAAATGGGAGAAGGGAAAACAACGCACTGTGATTACCAGGTTCCTAGCAAAAACCCAGCTGGCCAGGAATATCTTGAGAACTCTTTTTCTTAGCAATAAAGTTAGTTGCTTGGTTAATTTGGCAACTCTAGATTGCCTTTCTGGGAAGATTTCCCACTTGGGAGGATTCCCTTACTGGGGTCCGTACATTTTAGCAGCCCACTTAACGTTGTTGTGAGGTGGAGCCACAGATTGCTATAGGGACAGCAATCACAACTTTTTGTTTGCCTGGTTTAGAGTTTTCTCAGAAGCTTGGTAGACTTGGTTGATTTGTGTTTTGTTAACTCAGAAACCAGAGATCATGTTGAGTCCTAATTATTAAATCCAGACCTTGACCTGGCAGCTGCTACCTGGCAATAGGCTTCATTGCCCTACCTGTCTCTCTGGACCTCAGCTTTTATATGATACAGTAACCTAGAGTGAGACGGTTTCTTAAGTTGTCCCTTGTCTCCAGGCTGAATCCCAGTGGATGATCCTTTCCAAAAGGGATAGTTGATGTCTTTGCTGGGAGGAAGTGCCTAGGAGGGAGAGGGTACAGGTGGAGGAGATGAGGCATTCCTCAGGTCTCAAGTTTACCGTTTTCTCTTTCCTGCCTCTCTCACTTTAGCATGGGGCACAGCTTTGGCTTTTAATCGTTGCCATAATTCAAGATTATTTGATTCTTAGTCACTCTATCTCCTGTAAAGATAAGAGTTAAAGCAAGAGTGATTTTGATGATTAAATGAGATAATGTATGTAAAGCAAAGATAAATGGTAACTATTGCTATGGCTGTATCTATGTTTAGGATTAAACGAGTATTTGGAAGTGTAGAAACAGAATTTTTGGACTTACGTTAGCCTGAGAAGTCTAAATATTGTGGTCAGATAGAAGTATTAGGTGATACAAGTATGAACAGGTTAGTCCTGAAGCTGCCCTGAGTAAATGGGTGCATTTTAAAATTCAGCACAGGACATTTCTGATGTTGGATTCACCATAGCTTTGAAATTATAACAGCAATTATCAGTGTGTCTTTTGTTTATTATCATGGCCAGGATGTTTTATTCCTGTTCTAGTGTTCCAGATTCACAAAAAATAGAATTCCCCCATGTGAAGCTTTAGGCCAATATGAATTTTAAGAAGTCTGCCTATAATTTGAGTAATGACAGAGGATTATACATCGTATTTTTTAAATATTGAATTTTCCTAAACCTGTGTTAACAGCCAGTTTATTTCACTGGGTATCATGTTGCTATAAAGAAACGACCATATAACTTCCTTTAGAAAATTCTATTTCATTCCATTAGCTTTAAAATGCTTCTGGGAGAGGATGGCATTTTGGACCTCTTAAAAAGTCTCTGGGAGCTCAGACTTCTGGTGAAAATGGTATCATAAGTTCATACTTGGAAGGATGAGACATACATTTGGCTCTAAAGAGATCAATAATTTATGAAATGCATTTTTAAAAGAGACTTATCTGGATTCAAAAATAGGATAAACATCTCTGTGGACCAGAAATGGAACAAAAATGCAGTGTGGAGGGAAGCCTCCAACCTGCTTGACTCCTGGTCCAGAAGCAGGGAGGCAAAGGCAACGCAGAGAGGGGCTCCTATAGGCTGATGGACCTGAAAGGACTTGAAGTGAGACAAGTGGCCTGATCCAGTCTCTGTCTGAAATCAGAGCATGGGGTCTGTGGTGTAGCTCTCTTCTCCCCTCCCTGAAAGACAAACCTAGAACAGCCTAGGATTTAAAGAGAGACTCACAGGTTCACCACCTACAGTCATGGTTTGCTCAATCCTAGGGGGCCCATCACTTAGACCTAGAGTTGTGCAGTGCACAACCTGCAGCATGTACCTGTGGCCTTGCAGACAGAGCTCAGCCTTATCACTGAAAGTACACTTCACATTTTTATGAAAAAAAAGTAAAAAACCTGCTGACTCCTGAGACCAGTGTTTCTCCTACAGCCTTCTTAAGTAGAGGTGTTTTTCTTCTTTATGTCAAGTATTACTGGGTCTGGGGGTCAGGTAGTTGTCTCCTTACCCCTCATTGCTGATTCCAGACCACAATAACTTCTTCTTCCCTAAAGAACTCCAGCTCCTTTGAAGCACCTGCCATCGGACTACTGCCCTTCTGCAGTCATTTCCCCCACTCTTGGAAGAATGAAGCAAACCTATCAGTGTCTTTTTCTTTACCACTAGTCCTGGCAACACTCTTTTTGATTAAGACTTAAAAAAAAAGTCTAAAAGGTAGGAACTATTTTTATTTTAACATAATCATAGTGATATTTCACATTTCTCCAGTTGTCTCCTTAGTCTGTCTACAGTAACAGGTCCCATTTCTCCCATTATTTTCCCTCTCTCTCTCTCTCTCTCTATATATATATATATATATATTTTTTAAACATCTTTATTGGAGTATAATTGCTTTACAATGGTGTGTTAGTTTCTGCTGTATAACAAAGTGAATCAGCTATACATATATCCCCATATCTCCTCCCTCTTGCGTCTCCCTCCCACACTCCCTATCCCACCCCTCTAGGTGGTCACAAGCCACCAAGCTGATCTCCCTGCGCTATGCGGCTGCTTCCCACTAGCCATCCATTTTACATTTGGAAGTGTGTATATGTCAATGCTACTCTCTCACTTCGTCCCAGCTTACCCTTTCCCCCTCCCCGTGTCCTCAAGTCCATTCTCTACATCTGTGTCTTTATTCCTGTCCGGCCCCTAGGTTCTTCAGAACCTTTTTTTTTTTTTTAGATTCCATATATATGTGTTAGCATACGGTATTTGTTTTTCTCTTTCTGACTTACTTCACTCTGTATGACAGACTTTAGGTCCATCCACCTCACTACAAATAACTCAATTTCGTTTCTTTTATGGCTGAGTAATATTCCATTGTATATATGTGCCACATCTTCTTTATCCATTCATCTGTCGATGGACTCTTAGGTTGCTTCCATGTCCTGGAGATTGTAAATAGAGCTGCAATGAACATTGTGGTACATGTCAATATATATTTTTATAGTTAGTTGGTTTGTACCAGGAACAAAGTCCCATATTGCATTTAATTTGTCTCTTCAATCTTTTAAAATCTGGAACAATTCCTCCTCCTTATTTATTTATTTGTTTGTTTACAAAACCAGGTCATTTGTTCTGTTGAATTTCCTACATTTTCCTGTTTGCATCCCTGTGGTATGATTACATTTAACATGTACATCTAGCCCCTGTATTTCCTGTAGACTGCTTATTAGATATAGAGCCTTGATAAATATAAAGAATACTTTGTGGGTGATGCTGTACACTTCCTGTTGCGAGACACATGTCTGCTTATCTCTCTTTTAATGATGAGATTTATCAGTGTGTTCAGGTGTTATAAGTCTGATTCATATGTCAGATAGTTTCCCATTAGGCTTTTACTTTAATATTTTTAGCAGCCATGGATGGTACTTGTTTAAAACCATGTTTCATCAGGAGTTGCATCTTGTAATTCTATCATTCCTTCTGCATTTATTAGCTAGAATTCTGTAAAAGACTTTGCCTAATCAACTATTTGTTATTCTGAAGTGAGACAAATTCTGAATTATTTTCCTTTATTTACCAGTTTTCAAATGGCGAATTGGTTTCCTGGTATGCCCAATGAGTTTCTTTGTTGTTGTTATCATTATAAACTTGCAGATTTTAACATTTTTGATATATTTCAATCCATTGCAGTCTTTATTCTTTCTAATGCTCCAATGGTTCCATCTTTGGCCATTTGACTCCTGTGTTCTTTTGAGATGATTTCAACAGCTTGCTTGCATTTCTGACAAGATGTTCCAGGTGTCTTATATTGATACATTTCCTGTCCCAGACTTGAAATCCACCATTTTTCCAAGAAGGCCTCTTTCCTTTTGGAGGGGAATGTTATTTAGAGACCATGATCCAGGTTCTAGGTGTGCTCATTGCTACTGGTTTGATCATTACTTCTAGATAAAATGTATTTATTTTTTAAATAAAAAATAAAATGTATTTTATTAAGATAAAATGTATTTGTTTTTGACAGATAAAAATATGAGTGTATACTGAGGTTTCAAGTTCAGAATTCAAGATTATGGAATTTTACTCTTGATTTTTTTATTTGCAGTTCTTTTCTTTTACAAGAAAATTTTTGTTCTTAAAGACATTAATATATCCTAGAATATATCCTAAAATATAGTTTAAAATAACAATCTCAATATTATTCTAATAATATATTATTGAATACTGTTTTACAATTTTTGTTTTTTTAATATAAACAAATCCATATATCTTCATTTCCTTCCCTTTATAAGATAAAAGGTATAATACTATGCACACTGTTTTGCATCTTGCCTTTTTTTGTTTTACAATATATCGTAGAGGTTGCTCCATAGATCTTACTCAGTCCTCTTTATAGCTGTATATTATTCTATTTTGTGAATGTAGTTTATTCAACCTATCCCCTGTTGATAGATATTTGGGCTGTTTCCAGTCTTTTGCTGTTACCAATAGTGCTGTATGTAGTAATAGCCTGTGTATATGTTATTTCATAGTTTTGCTTGTTTATTTTGGTATAGAATTCTAGAAGTAAGATTGCTGGGTCAAGGATTAGATGTGTATATAATTCTGCTATCTCTTGTCATGGCAATAATAGTTTGGTGGGGATAGGAGTTGGGGAACAGGTAATAAAAATATAATATGCCTTGTAGGTATATTTGAAGAAGTACTTAGAAGAAGTTTGACTTTATCTTCCTCTTTTTCCTTCCATACCCTTTTATTCTTCATTAATACTATAATTGTCATGCTAATTTAGAAAGATGATAACATTTTGAGGGGAATTTAAAGAAACACTAACTTCTAAGTAAAATTAATCTCTTTTTCTCTAATTTTCACCTCTTACTATAATGTATTACCCATTCTGGTAATACATAAAAACTTCAAAAAACTTTAAAAAATAAAAACTTTATCAGTTAACAAACTTTTATAATAATTTTGACTATCATAGGCAAGTCGCCACTTGTTACTTGGTGCTTAGCTTTTTTATATATTATCCCTGTGTTTTTATGCATGGAAATACTTTCCACCCCTCTGCACACCTTGGCTTCTTCACTATGTAGTTGGTTTCTTTACTAACACCTCCTACTCCACTTTTGATTTTTAAGGTTATTATATCTCTTTCCTTAGAACTTAAATTTTAAAGTAAGATCTAACCCTAAAAACCCTAAAATTTTAAAAATATATTTCATAAATTATTGATCTCTTACTGTTTTGGGCAGAAATCATATAGTCTCTTTCCAGCTCCTATGTGCCATACTCCTTTGACTATATATCTCACTGTTACAGCAGTTTTCACCTTGTTGCTCCACTGCCACATCATACAGATTGGCTTTCATGTTAGAAATCTCTATACGTAGATCTTTTTCTACTTATTTCTAAGTTTTCTGTGTCTGTAGTTTTGTTGGATGATTTTATGCCCAAATCTTATGCCTGGTTCCTATTGAATTCTTCTTCTTTTTATGATTAGATAATCAAGAATGCATAGAAATTTTTGTGTTTGCTAACCTATCTAATTAAAATTTGATGTATTTTAATGTTGTTTGTCGGTATTTCATTTTCCCTTGTTTAGGTTCGTAATGTTCTTAATGATGCAGTGGATTTACTGGAATTCCGTGATAGAGTCATTAAAGCCTCTTTGAACTATGCACACTTAGTTGTTTCAACGTCTCTTCAGTGTTATGTGTTCTCGTAAGCATCTTGCATTTCTTTAAAATCCAGAGTTTTGTCTGTGAGGAGGAATTTATTTTCAAGCTTTCATATCAACATGGTTTGGTTTAAACTTAACTTTCTCAAAGCCTTGCCTTCTTGAACTTACTACCAACCAAGAAGTGATAAAAAGTAAGCTATGAGTAAGGAAAGTAGATCTAATAAAGTTTGTGCATCAACGGTTAATAATCACTTTTATAATACAAAATACCTTCTCCGAGATAATGTTTACTCTTACTTTACTCATAGCTCTAAGGACTTCATCGTAATTTGATTTCAAAGCCCAGAGAAGGTTAGGAGCATCTGATAAATGATGGGAAAAGGAACCACCTAACCACTGGCAGCGGGGACAGCTAGCAGCCTGACAGCAGGCTGAAAGATGTTCAGTAAGGACACAAGGAGGTGTTCAGGCTTAATATCATAGTCCAGGGTAATCATAAATGTTCCTATTGATAATCCAGAGTTGTCCAGAAATGATGAAAGAAAATATGTTCAGTATACTTTGTATTAAAAAGCAGGAAATGACTCAATACATCCAAGAAACTTGCACCTAAAACTTTAAAAACTTACTTGGTATTTTTATGTAACTCAGTGTGTGCTGACAAATATTGAACTGGCTTTCTGGAAACCAGCCAACCAACCAAACAACCTGATTTGCAGTGTTAGCTCATTTCTCTTATATAAATACTTCTACCATGGCCAATTTCAAGCTACCAATATGATGTCACAGAATTAAGAAGAGATGCACAGTGGCAAACCATTATATAGAATTGCCACCATATAGATAACAATAGGTGTAAATAATCTCAAGTGCATAGATAATAGTAAAATGTAATAAAATAAACTGGAAGTGATCAGTTTGAGTATTATCTTTGTTTTGAATATAATTTGCTTAATTATGTTTATATATTTTAATTTTAAATAATGGCTTTATCTAACAGTTGGCTTGCAAAATTCCTGAAAATATAACAGTCGGTACAAACTAGCTCTAGTTTGCCACCAGTTGACTTCTCAACTATCCAGAAAACTCAAGGAACCACTATGACACTTTCAAGAGTTGTGAATAAAGATTTTTTTTTTTACATTTTGTGCTTATATTTATAACATTATGTGGTTATAGTTTAATCATTGAATAGAAAATTGAGGGTAGAGTATGTATGTGTCTTATTCACCACTGTATACCCAGTACATGTAGTAAGTACTTAAATAAATAAATATTTTGGGATGAATAAATGAATTGAAAAACATAAAGTAGACTGTTGTCTTGGTAAGCTAAAGCTCAGTAATACACAACACAAAGGTATCCTAAAATTTAATTAACAGTATCACTTGCTACAAGTATATATTACAAATTGTCACTCACTTATGTGGAAATCTGCTACTAATCAGAATCTGCAACTTAGAATAACAGCCAAGCCTGGAGTAATGAAATGGGACAAGCAAAGGAGAAAGGGCATAAAGAAATAAGCAGCTCAATTTTACATGAAATTTTTTTTCTTACGTGAAAGAGAAGGGAGGCTTTGGGTAAAGTCAAGAAAGCTACCAAGTTAAACCATTGAGGTATAGGAAAGGGACTATAGAATATGAGGAATCTCACAATCACTTAGTGCACATGGGTTTTGAATAATTTTCATGGGGTTGAGGAAAACAGAGAAGATTTCCTCAGTTTAGGGTTTGGTTGAAGAAAGGTAGGGCTCTTAACTTAACTGCCCTAAACGAGGGATTTATTCTACTAATTTTAATGGCAAGGACATAATGTTTGAATCTGTAGGATTGGTATCATTATGTGTTACTTGTATTAAAGAGGTTGCTTTTTAAAATACTTACCAAAAGTTTAGAAGCTGTTATTTAATTTTTTTGTCACTGTACCTTTCTCATACCAGGTAGTATGTGTCAAAATATTAAATTGCTTTTTTTCTTTTCTGATTTAACATTACCCCCCTTCTCTTGTTGTCAAGACATTTATGAAGGTACAAAATATTTATTAAGGTGAAATACCAGGGAGCAGTAGTGGGAATGAAGTAATGCTGAGACCCATCATACTGAAATATAGTTCATTAAATTAAAAATACCTAGTATTTTAGATAATAACAACTATTATTTACTGAGCTCTATTATACTATCTTTTATGTTCATGATCTAATTTACTCTGTGTGTTGGATATTATTATTATTATTCCCATTTTACAAAATGAAGAAACTAAAGGACGCAGAGGTAATTAAGTAACTTACCCTGGGTGAAATTACTTAACTTCTTTACTAAAGGAAGAGCTGGAATTTGAATCCAAGTTCCTAATAACTGTTGCCCCTTTTTTAGTAATAAAAATATAATTTTAAAAACAAACATGCAAGCCATATACTGGTTTATATGAAAAGAAGTTCCAGACAAAGAAAATCATATATGAGCATTCTATGTTAAATTTTCATTTGATTTTTCAAATAGTTGTATAGAAAATTCTCTTGTTCTGATTTAGGGAGTTATTATTTCCATGTCATATATATATATGTATATATATCAGTTGTCATAAACCTCAGATATTTTGTAAGGGGACATTAAAAAAACCTCATACTCACTATTCGTATCAGCTCTCTCGACAAAGAATGAACGTTAATTCTGATGACTGCATAAATGAGCACGCTGTGATATTTTTTCTAAAGTACAAAAGTACATAGCTTTATCGTACCTGTGAACCTCAGACTTACTAATTATTAGTAGTGATTTACTCACTGTTTGGCTTTATGCATGCATTTACTTATTGAAATGGGTATCAGGCTCTGCATTAGCCAAGATTAATTTCCCCCAATTTACTGCAACCTTCCCCTTCCCCCCATCTCCTGGATCAATATGAGATTTAATCTGATTTAAAGAATTGGTTCTGAGAAAGTAATTGAGAGAAATTCAGAATATATAGGAGTAATAAAACATTTTAAACTATGAAACACCTTTGATTATTTGGGGATGGGTTTTTCAGTTTGTAAATGTTCTCTCCACCCATCCTTATCTTTGAATCATATTACATCATAAAAATCATAGGAGTTATTTTTTCATTCATTCATCTGTTTATTCAGTAGGCATAGTCATAGCTTACATTAATACAGTATTTTACAGTTTACAGAATGTTTCACAGAAATCTTCATTCAGCTCAACATTTACACTGGGAGACCTGTAGGAAAAATTGTTCATCATGTTATTGTTAGTACAGTGTTTGTTTGTTCAGTATCTGCTATGCAGTAGGCAGTTAGCTAGATGCTTTAGGTAAGTCATCATTATCTCCATTTTAAAAATAAGAAAACTGTTCTTTAGGTCAAGCTTATTAAGATCATATGGCCGACAGGTGGTGAAACCAGATTTCTAATCCTGATTTGTCTAGCCAAAACCCCATCCTCTTTTCACTATACTATGCTGCTACTATTTTTCAAAAGAGAAACATTAGATGACATGCCCAATCATAGAGCTAATAAGTGACAGAACTTGAACTTATGATTCCTCAATTTGCATATTGTGGCTCCTAGAATAAACATTTATTGAGTACTTACTATGTGCCAGGTGCTAGGGACACAGAGTCCGCTTTCTAGTCAGGGATACAGACACGTTAAGTGAATAATTTCAGAACAATGCACCAAGTGCTGTAATAGAAATATATACAGAGTTACTGTGAAACTAAAGATACTTCATTTCAAATGAGTACCCATCTGCTTATTAAAAAGTATTTGGTATTTTAAGTGTTAATAAATATCCATTTTATTTGTCTTTCAGTACGAAGAACTGGAATACACCACTTATATTTGATCTCAAAGAAGGAACTGTTAGTTTAATTCTGCAGGCAGAAAGGTAATTTGTTTATCATGTTTCACTATTTAATTAGGGGTTAAAATATTTTAAACTGCAGTAAAGCACTCTTTAAATCATGCCATTTACAGAATGGTACATTTGTCACTTGGAATCAATCTGTTTCTTTATTTTAAAAGAAAAAAAAGTAAGAGAATAAGCTCTTAGGTCAGTGGTTCTGAAACTTTTTGGTCTCAGAATTTCTTTACATTCTTCTTTTTTTTTTTTTTTTTTTTTGCGGTACGCGGTCCTCTCACTGTTGTGGCCTCTCCCGTTGCGGAGCACAGGCTCCGGACGCGCAGGCTCAGCGGCCATGGCTCACAGGCCCAGCCGCTCCGCGGCATGTGGGATCCTCCCGGACTGGGGCACGAACCCGTGTCCCCTGGATCGGCAGGCGGACTCTTAACCACTGCGCCAGCAGGGAAGCCCTCTTTACATTCTTAAAAAGTTATTGAGGGCTATATGTGGGTTATATATATTGACATTTACTATACTAGAAATTAAAATTGAGAGATTTAAAAGGTCTTAATTTATTTAAAAATGATGAGAATAAACTTATTACAAGTAAACAGAGTAATGATGAGAGAATGAGTGAAACAGGCCAATTACTATAAGATGGTTTTGACCCCATTGTTCCTGTATTTTCTATTCTCTTCCGTTTTTGTTTTTAAATACTGGTTGAAACTCATTAATTTTATGAGCTACTACTAGGCTGTGATCTGAAGTTTGAAAAATAATATTCTCGACCAAGACTTTGTGTATACAGGACTAAGAAACTCTGGGTCAATTAACTGGAGTAAAGTAGGAATAGCTATTACTCAGGAACCCACACTTTTCCATGAAAGTTATCAGTCTGTCAAGTACAGTGATACCCTACTGGATCAGAGATCAGAGTTAGATAACTACAACTCAATAAAACCAGGAATAAAGTATGAAAATATAATCAGCAATTATCTAAGATAGCTACCCATGAAATCTTTTCACTAAAACAATTTACTTTATTCCTCATCCCTTTACTCACCACCTAGGCAGCTCTTAATAGCGTTATTATCAGGTTTTCTAGCCCATAGTCTTTTTTTAAAAAATAAATAAATTTGTTTATTTATTTATGGCTGTGTTGGGTCTTCGTTGCTGCACGTGGGCTTTCTCTAGTTGCGGCGAGCAGGGGCTACTGTTCGTTGCGGTTCGCAGGCTTCTCATTGTGGTGGCTTCTCTTGTTGTGGAGCACAGGCTCTAGGTGCACAGGCTTCAGTAGTTGTGGCTCGCGGGCTTAATTGTTCTGCGGCATATGGGATCTTTGTGGACCAGGGCTCGAACCCGTGTCCCATGCATAGGCAGGCGATTCTTAACCACTGTGCCACCAGGGAAGTCCCCCATAGTCTTTTATAAATAGCAAACCAGAAGAGGAATACTGGTGAGTTGTTAGAGGTTGGCACAATGACAGGAAGAAAAGTGACCGCCTGGCAAGGGAGCATGAGAAAACTAAAAGCAGAGAACCGTGTAGCTGAATAGCATAATTATTCTGATGCACCATCAGATTCTCGTGAGTATCAAAGCTATCAGTTACATAGTTACTGAAGAGTATGATCATCATATTGATGACCTTGAGTGATCAAAAAAATAATTGTGTCAAATTTTCTATCAGCTGTTTAATGAAGTTGAACCAGAGATTTATTTATTTTTGAAATTCTTTTTACTTGAAACAGTTCCAAACCAATTTATTTCTTTATGTATTATATATAAAGGTATGTTCAATATGCTCTTAATTAGTAAAGGCATATGTTAATGGCATAAATGATTAAGTAATTAAAGAATATTTTATTTACTGCTCATTGCTGGTCTTATTTGTACATTTAGAAATGTTTGCCCCTTGAAACAGTGTTTACTCACAAGGAAGTTAAAGCTTTAGTATCTTGTTTAGAAGAGAAAATGCTTTTAGTACTGAGACAAAGAAAGAATATATACTAATATGATGTGTCACTTGTCAACATTAGCAAATACTGTTTTCATACACTAATGTGTAAGGGCCAAACCCTTCAATTAAATAAGCTACACACCAATACTCAAGTATTAATTTAATTCAAGTGTACATATTTGGTATTCATTATATATTAAGTTTCTGTTTGTTTTGATGTTTATTTTCTATTTGTTTCCATAGCAAAAAAGAACAATTAGCAATTCTTGAATCAAGAAATAGTTCTGGGGAATCCCCTGGAGGTCCAGTGGTTAGGACTCTGTGCTTTCACCACCGAGGGCCCTGTTCAATCCCTGGTTGGGGAACTAAGATCCCACAAGCCACCTGGCGTGGCCAAAAAAAAAGTTCTGAATCAAGGATATTAAAGTCTTGAACATAAGATTTTAAAAAGTAATAATGTGGGGGCTTCCCTGGTGGCGCAGTGGTTGAGGGTCTGCCTGCCAATGCAGGGGACACGGGTTTGTGCCCCGGTCCAGGAGGATCCCATATGCCGCGGAGCGGCTGGGCCTGTGAGCCATGGCCGCTGAGCCTGCGCGTCCGGAGCCTGTGCTCTGCAGCGGGAGAGGCCACAACAGTGAGAGGCCCGCATACCATGAAAAAAGATAAGTAAATAAAAATAAAGTGGAAACTTTCTTTTAAAAAAAAGTAATAATGTGTCCAGCATTGAGGAAACAGGCTCTCCAATATAGCAGTAGTATGAGTGTAAATCAATACAACCTTTCAAGGGGCAGTTTAACAATATATGTTAAATTTTTAAAAGTATATGCCCTTTGATCGAATTATTGCATTTTTAGAAGTTATATTGTACTAAGGAAATAAGTAATGTAAACATACAGAGATGTGTATATACTTTAGACATTCTTTAAAGCAGTGAATAATTTGAAATAAAATAAGTGTCCATCAGGAATGAGTTAAGTAAAGTTAAGGTGTGTCCATACTTTGCCATAAGTTATCTCTATGGAAGTAGGAAGATTGCAGGAGATCTTTTGCTTTCTCTGTATTGTTTGAATTATTTTTTGCAATGTTCATAAATTTTGAAAGAAAAAAAATAGCAGCCATAAAATATTTACATTTTGACTTAATAAAAAATAAACTATACAGGACCCTATGCCTTGAATAGAGCGGTCAACACAGCAAATGAACCAAAGTCCCTGATACAAAAAATGTGTTTTTAGATATGAACACATTTACTGATGGTTACCATATTGTTTTAAAGTCAAAACATCTTATTTTAATAAATGCTGGCTCTGATGTTAATTTTTGCGTAATTTTCACTGTTTAGGACTTTAACAAGTATTTAATCTAATTTAGTACTGTAATTTAATTTTAATGATCCTTACCATAATCTTTTTTTTTTTTTTTTTTGCGGTACGCGGGCCTCTCACTATTGTGGCCTCTCCCGTTGTGGAGCACAGGCTCCGGACGCGCAGGCTCAGCGGCCATGGCTCATGGGCCTAGCCGCTCCGCGGCATGAGGGATCCTCCCGGACCGGGGCACGAACCCGCGTCCGCTGCATCGGCAGGCGGACTCTCAACCACTGCACCACCAGGGAACCCCTTTACCATAATCTTTAACTGTGAAATATGTACTAATACTGTTACATGAAACAAATAGCATCTGGCATTAAAAAAATCACTGAATTGTAAATTACATGATTTTTTTATTGCCATTGTATAGAGATGCTTCTTTAGGAAAGGAAATGAATTACAAATTATAATATTAATGGGCCTTTTCATTTTTCCTTCTCCTACCTCCATGAAAAAACAAAAACCTAGAAAACAAACCAAACAACCAATGTTGACTTTTCAGGTTGTTTTATATTTCATTCTTTATATATTTATGTTTTACTATTGTTTTAATTGTAAGATTTAGATTTTCCAAAGCATAAACTATTTTCTAATATAAAAATGAAATTATAGTAAACTCCTATTTGAAAATATATTTTTATTCTTTATTTTTTAGACATTTTCTTCTTGTAGATGGTGGTGGTATCTATTTATATTCTTATGACGGGCGCTTCCTTTCCTCTCCAAAATTTCCTGGAATGAGAACAGATATTCTAAATGCACAGACGGTCTCTCTGAGTAATGATACCATAGCAATAAAAGACAAAGCTGATGAAAAAAGTAAGTGCATTTTTATAATTTTCCATGAAATTTGTTAACACTGTAAAATTTTCATCAATTAACTTTCATTTTCTCATCTATTATTATGTTAACTTTATATGAAAGAATTATGGGCTTCCTAATTTTTCCTAAGTATGAATCGATTAAAGAACTAAAGTTGTCGTATTATTCCCAACTGATGGAACAAATAGATATTGTCACAGCATCAAAGCTTAGTTGTAAGGAATAAATCTTATATATTCAGTAGCTGTTGGTATAGAGTTTGAATTCAAGACTGTGTGTCCTAAAAATGTATGTTAATTTTTAAGTTTATTGATCTTTTAAACTATTTCATTTTTCTTTATTTAGTAACATAGTAAATATTGTGCTTCATTTTACTATTTATTTTGCTTATATATATTCATATTTTTATGTTTACATATTTTTAAACTAATGAAGTAGAAGAAAGTTATGAATAATTTTAAATTTTCATATAAAAATGTAGGCCACATTAGTGTTTATAAATAAATATGAATGTGTCAGGTGTTTTGGAATTCCATAGTAGAGTGAAACCATTTTTTTAAGGCAATGCTGTATCAGAACATGTATCCAACAAATAGTATTGAGTGCTAACTGTATGCCAAGTACTTTTCTAGAAGTTGAGGATACAATAGTGCATAAGACCACAAATCAAACAAATATAGTCAGCCACTGATACATGCTGTGAAGAAAATTAATGCAGGATGAGGGAATGGAGAATTCTAGAGGTGGGGGAGGGGAATGACCATAGGACAAGCAGGTGCAAATGGGAATTGTTGGCACATAAAAGGAACTGCCAGGGGCTTCCCTGGTGGTGCAGTGGTTAAGAATCCACCTGCCACTGCAGGGGACACAGGTTCGAGCCCTGGTCCGGGAAGATCCCACATGCCGTGGAGCAACTAAGCCCATGCGCCACAAATACTGAGCCTGCATGCCACAACTACTGAAGCCTACGTGCCTAGAGCCTGTGCTCCACAACAAGAAAAGCCACTGCAATGAGAAGCCTGCACACCGCAGTGAAGAGTAGCCCCCACTCGCTGCAACTAGAGAAAGGCCTGCATGCTGCCACGAAGACCCAATGCAGCCAAAAATAAATAAATAAATTAAATAAATTAAAAAAAAAAAAAAAAAGGAACTGCTGGAGGGCCATGGGACTTAGGTCAACACAAGCAAAGCTGAGAGTGGTAGGAGAAGACAGAGAGATAGATAAGTAGGAACCAGATCATGTAAAGACTTGGCCATGGTAAAGATGTTGGCATGAGAGAGTGGAGGCAAGCATATTACCCTAGGGTTTTTCCTGGATGAATGAAATGAAAGATGGGGAACGAGGAAGTTTAGAGGAGGTCCACAAACCCGGAGAGTTCTGTTTTGGTCATGGTAAGTTTAAATGCTTCTTAGACATCCAAGCAGGGTTGGAGAGGAAACAACAGGATAAAGTCCAGGGCTCAGGAGAGAGTTGGGGACGAGATATAAATGTGAGAGTCATTGGTGTGTAGATGGTGCCACGATACTACATGAAATCACCTAGGAAGTGAGTATAGACAGAGAAGAGGACCAGTGACTGAGCACATCAATATTTAGAGATGGGTAAAAGGAGGAGGAGCCAATGAGGTAAGAGTGAGAGTGAGATATCCCTGAAGCCTAGTGGAAAGATAGTAAATAATTGTTATTCTCTGTTAATAAATATTGCTGAACAAACATTGTTCATTACTGTGACATGTTACAAAAAAAAAAGTCTGACCTGATTATTAATTTTGTGAGGTCATGCCATGGAAGACCTAATTCAGGAGCTAGAAAACTGTCCCACTTTTTAATTTTCAGTGCTTTCAGATAGCATCACCTCTCATACTGGTAGGAAATATAATTCTCCTAAGTAGAGCTATTCTCTCTCTTTATGCCTTAGGCTTTCTCTGAGAGAGGACATTTGGTAATTGTTTTGTTTTTAAATGACTTCCTTTCTGGCTAAATGAGAGGAAAGAGAATGAAATGAAATACAGTAGTATCTAGATAGTGGACAGATTCAAGATGGCTGTGTAATCGTTAATAATAATAATTTGGAAGTCAGATTTTTGTCTTCAGTAAACTTAAATTTGAAAATCCCAGTGATCACTATGAACTTTCTATACTTTTCTTATTCAACACCACATATTTTATTTTTATTTACTTATTTATTTAAAAAAACATTTATTTATCTATTTATTTATTTATTTGGGTTGCACCAGGTCTTAGCTGTGGCAGGCAGGCTCCTTAGTTGCAGCTCCAGGGCTCCTTAGTTGTGGGTCGCCGGCTCCTTAGTTGTGGCATGCGAACTCTTAGTTGTGGCATGTATGTGGGATCTAGTTTCCTGACCAGGGATCAAACCCGGGCCCCCTGCATTGGGAGCTCGGAGTCTTATCCACTGCGCCAGCAGGGAAGTCCCAACACCACATATTTTAGATAGAAACTATAATAAAGTATGTACGTTTCCAACTGAATATACCTTATTCTGAATTTTTCTACAGTTAATTCACATCTGAAACATATTTCATTAATATTTAATCCTTTCCTAATTCATAGAATTTTAGAACCAGAAAGAATTATGAACATTTTCAGAAATATAGATTTACCTGCAGATAAATTATGGTTTACTTACATAAACTTTGATTGTTTAACAAAATAGTTATGTAATTCCATCCTGCCATAAACAGAAAATTTTAAAAACTAAAATAAAATTATTGTAGAACTGATACAAAATGAGAAGGAAAATATTTTCCTTACGTTTAAAGAAACTGATAATTATTGAAGGCTAGGTAGAGGTATATGTTAACAATAGAAAGAACAATTGAAGTACCTGGAATCTTTAACCTGTAAAATTTTCTTTCAAGGGGACCATCCATATATGAAATTAGTGGTTCCTTCCTAACTTGGGAGTTCCTTTACAGGCAGGATTCTTTGTACCAAGCACAGTACTCTTATAATATAGTAGGTGCTCCATAAATACATGTTAAATGGATTTGAATACCCCTTACAATGATTGATTAAGTAGTAGAGGTACTGCTTTTGACTTCCTTCTTCTCCCCATCCACCTTGCACAGATGCTCTATGATGTTAGTGTGGGTGATTTGAAACAAATATCTGGGTATAGTGGGGGAGGAGAAGTCAGAGAGCAGTTACTTATGCTTAGAAGCAACTCTTTCCGCTTCCATCTCCTTAGTTGTCCTTTCTGCCAGTTTCAGTTACATATTAAAATTAAAATACAGGTTCAGCCTCCCATAGATCAGGGCCACTTACAGTTGTGGAAATTAGATAAGTTCATCCATATACCTCTGGCTCTTTATAATATGTGCAGTCAACAAAAGGACGGAAGGCTTTTATTTTTTTTTAAAGTTAGTTTATATAGCTATTAAAATAACTGGGCTTAGTCATGCCCAAAGCATTTTTTAAAATGGAAGCAAAATTTTTCTAATTTTTAATTCTATACTTAATTAAAAATTCTGTGACTATTATTCTATTTCATTTCTTTCAGCAAAATTGGCGATTTTAGAACATAACTTATTATGAAGACATGATTTCCTCTGTGAATATAGCCAGTGACCTCAAACTTAACATCCTAAGGTTTACTAACAGCTATAAATCAATATACTAAAAGTGTGATCCTCTGGAATTTAAATATCATGTTATACATATATTAGCATTTTTATGATCTGTATAAATTGTCCGATTTTTTGCTGACTACACGTGTCACTTCTGTCTTTTCAGTTTTGTAATTCTATGTGTGTGTTCAGTCATATGAAATTACTCTATTTGGCATGAATCTTGAGCTGGAGTAGTTTGGGAATTACTTAAAGAGAATCACCAAAGCACTAACAGTCTTTTCAAAAGAGCAAAGAACAGCTGGCAATATGGCTGTCATTTATGAGACTAGGAGAAGCCTTTGGTGAAACAGAGAAAGGGACAGAGACAGTTTTTGTTCCTGGCTTCTTCAATACAATATCTACTGTAATTTTTACAACTTGGCCTACTCAGAATATCTAACATGGGGTTGGAAACAGAGAACTTTGAATTATCATTTTTTAGATAATGATTGATGTCATGAAAATAATCCAGGAAAGTATATAGCATGAAAATGTGACCTAAAACAAAACCTAGGAAAAAGGATCACGAAATGAGGAGGAACTAGCAAAAGAGAATTAGGGATGGTCCAAAATAGGAGAGAATCAAGAGAAAACAGTGGTTTTTGTAGCCCACATAAGAGTTTCAAGAAGAGTTTCAAGAAAGAGGATGGTCAGGACTATCCAGTGCTGCTGGGAGGTCAAGACTAGAAGTAGATTCTTGAAGAGTGAAAATAGACTCTTTGATGAGGCAACATAGGGGTCATTGGTGATCCATGCAAGAGCCTTTGCATCAGTGTAGTGAGGCTGAACATCAAGTTGTAATAGGTCGAAGAGTGGCTACATGATTGAACTCAATTTCCAGCTCCCCTCCCATTTCAGGGAGCTGAAAGTCCAAACTCTATAATCACAGTGCTTGGTCTTTCAGGTGACCAGCCCCTATCCTGAAGCTATCTAGGGTATCACCAAGAGTCTCTCGGTTAGCATAACAAAGACACTCCTATCACTCAGAAAATTCCAAGGGTTGACGAAGACCTGTGTCAGGAACCCAGGACAAAGACCACACAAATCAGTTATTACACATTAGTGTACCGACCACAGGGAACTGAAGAGTACATAACACATTGCGTGGTGGTATGGTATGCACTCAACATATTTTTCCTTTGTAAAATGATTGTCTGGGTTGTTATGTTGGTCTAAATCAGAGTTATGAAAATTACAAACTACATCCAGATTTGGACTTGCCACTGTTGATCCTATGGTGCGGTGATGCCATACCATTAATAACAATTCTAATTAGGGAATGTATGTTTTAGGAAGACGTATTCAGTTCCACTGAGAAATATGACCTCATTACTAAGTAGGAATTTGAGTCTGCTGCTCTTCTGTGCTGATAGGTATGCTGTGGTCTGAAGAGCTAAATAATTTCTCATTAGGATTATGATAACTCCATAGAAATTTACTAATAAAAATTCTAATGTAATACATCAACTAATGCTTTACTTTTTTTCAAGTAATCTTCCTCTTTGAGGCATCAACTGGAAAACCACTGGGAGATGGGAAGTTTCTTTCTCATAAGGTAATGGATATTAGCTATTTTTAATGTAAATAGCCATTTACTTTTTTTTTAATTAATGTTTTCATTTTAAGGAGGAAAACATGGAAATTAGTTTTATATTTAAAATCAGAGTGTGTTCTATATAGAGTATTTTGCCTAAAATATCATAAAGACTAAACACGAGTAAATTCTGTAATAGAAAGCTATATTTGCAAATTAACTGAATAAAAGAATCTGACATGTTTTTTGTTCAGGCTCTTCACTGCTTTTCAATAAAATGTTCTATCTTGATTAAACTTTTAGGACCTATAGAATCAGTAAATAAAAATGTGTTTATACTTCAAAACAGCTTGTAGTTTTCCCATTAACCTGTTCTTTTTTTAAAAAAATAAATTTATTTATTTATGTATTTTTATTTGGGGCTGCATTGGATCTTCCTTGCTGAGCATGGGCTGTCTCTAGTTGCAGTGAGCGGGGGCTATTCTTCATTTTGGTTCACGGGCTTCTCATTGCGGTGGCTTCTCTTGTAGCGGAACACGGGCTCTAGGCACATGGGCTTCAGTAGTTGTGGCTCGTGGGTCTAGAGCGCAGGCTCAGTAGTTGTGGCACATGGGTTTGGTTGCTCTGCGGCATGTGGGATCTTTCTGGACCAGGGCTCGAACCTGTGTCCCCCGCATTGGCAGGCGGATTCTTAACCACTGTGCCACCACCAAGTCCCCATTGACCTGTTCTTAGCCAACATTTTCTTTAGATTTTAAGACTGTAGTTAAACTGAAAAAAAAAAATCTATAGAAATACAAAAAGACGCTGAATTGTGAACTGTTTATTGGTTTCTGATTTTTAGCCTTAAAATAAACAAATGAGCACATTTTATTGAGTTATCCTTCTAATAAATGATGTATTAGGGTTTAAAGATGCTTTTAACTTTATTGTTCAGTGCTACCAGTGAAGTGTTACCCTATCTTTTATTTTCTTCTTTTTGTAATTATTAGTTTTAAAGTTAAATAACAAATATATTCAATGGTTCAGAAACAGAAAAGCATAAAGTGCTTTTCAAGCATAAAGTGAAAACGTATGCCTGCTATACCTGTCAATACAGTTCCTTTCCCTCAAATAAGTAACTATCACTATTAATCTCCTTATATCCTTCCAGGAATTTTTAGTGCATACACAGACAAAACTGATATATGTTCTTTTCTCCTTCTTTTACAAAATTATAACATATATATCTGCACTTTGCTTTTCTCACACAACACTCTGTTTCTGGAGATATTTTCATATCAATACATAAAGTGCTTTCCCAATCCTTTTTCTTCCCACCATATAGTATAACATTTTATGGATGTATCAGAATTTGTTTAACTTGTGCCCAAGTGATGGACGCACATGGAAATGTGTTTCAGCTTACAGAATTTCAAAATATACATTATTTTATAGTGCTTTAACAGGCATCTTTCCCTTGTAAATTAAAAAAAAAGTAACGATACTTTAGCTTTTGAATTATTAGTATATTAGCGGTTAAATTATTTAACAGGGACATTTTATCATTATGAGTAGGTAATAAACAAATGTTCTTATAATTAAACAATTAAAACAATCTAATGTCAAGCACTAAAACCAGAATTTTATTTTTTTCTTTTTAATTTTAGAATGAAATTTTGGAAATTGCTCTAGATCAAAAGGGACTTACCAATGATAGAAAAATTGCTTTCATTGATAAAAATAGAGATCTCTGTATCACTTCAGTGAAACGATTTGGGAAGGAAGAACAAATTATCAAACTTGGTAAAATAATTGTAATACATTTAAATTTTTGATTACTTTCAGTTGTCTTAGATCTACTCTGTTGTATATTATACTAAATCGCTTACTTGCTTGAATGAATCTATGAATAATGCTTTGGTCTCATAACATTTCTTACGAAATGTTACTTCATAAGTATGTTCTTATGAAATGCTACTTAATTCCATTTTAACAGCAAGTCTTTAGCTGCTACAGCTAACTTGGCATTGAAAGAAAGACATGCAGATTAAAAATATAATGGATCTGGGTAAAATATTCAAATTTATTTCCATAAATTTTTATGTGAATTTTTGTACGTTTTCACCATTATATGATCAGAAAATAGTCATACCTACAAGCAGTTAGTTAGGGTCTTGTACATCTGCTGATTTTAAAGGTGTATTTTTAATACGTAATGGAACTAATAGTACATTAACATTCTTTTTAAAATAAGGAACAATGGTGCATACTCTGGCGTGGAGTGATACATGCAACATCCTCTGTGGACTTCAAGATACTCGATTTACAGTGTGGTATTACCCCAATACGGTTTATGTGGACAGAGACATTTTGCCTAAGACATTATATGAAAGGGATGCAAGGTAACATTTTACTGCATAGGATTGTTTATTGTTGTAAATAAAACTAACAGAGTATTGTGTTTCTGCCTCTAATTTAAGTCCTGCAAGATGTCTTTCACTTTACTTAGTCAACCAAATAAAACCGTTCAGCTAGGGCTTCCCTTGTGGCACAGTGGTTGAGAGTCCGACTGCCGATGCAGGGGACACGGGTTCGTGCCCCGGTGCGGGAAGATCTCACATGCCGCGGAGTGGCTGGGCCCGTGAGCTATGGCCGCTGAGCCTGTGCATCCGGAGCCTGTGCTCCGCAACGAGAGAGGCCACAACAGTGAGAGGCCCACGTAACGCAAAAAAAAAAAAGAAACAAAAAAACAAAACAAACAAACAAAAAAACTGTTCAGCTAAAACTAGTTTAATGAGATTTAAGTGATGGAATCAAGTTGAAAGGGTCAGATAATACTATTTTATTTATTTATTCCTTAAATGAATATAATTTTTCCTTATATGGATATAATTTTCAGGTTTACTGTTGTTTAAGGGTAACTCAGGTCGTTTTTTCAGTGTGGTTTAGTTATTTTAATATAGGCACTCTTAAGATTTTTCTGTGATATATAACTTTGTGACAACCTTTACTCTTTCCCAGATTATCATTGACCTTGAGACTTTCAGGAATGTATGTCTTTCTAGAATTGAATTCTTAAATTAATATTAAATATAGAAAAAATGTATACTGAAAAGCTTTTAAAATTTTTTATATTCTTCAGAAAATCAAATGCATTTGTATTCCTAAATTCTCTAAGAAATAGCAAGGAGGTCTCTCACTCTTGACAAACTAGGTATACAAAGGCTTCTCAACTCCAAATCTTAGCTTAATTTTCAAATCTATTTTGAGTTCATTTTTAATATTCAAGCTCACAACATTAGCAAAACCAGAGAGGTATCCTATAAAAAATTTTTTAACTAATGAAGAGAAGTTAGTCTCTTTAAAGTTCACCTCTTGTTATTATGAGAAAATAATCTTGGAATCAGCTTAATTTTTAATGTTTATACTTTTAAAAGCTGAAGCTAAGTGCTTTAATCATTTGTGTGATTTACCTTAAGACTTAGAAAAAATCACTTCAAATGCTTTTAGGCATAGTTCTCAAATATGTAATAATTTTTTGCCATGTTAAAATGTTTGTATATTTTGCTTTAAGTGTGTATAGCTAGTTAGATTCAAATATTTGTTTAATATACATACATTCTCCCTGGAGTTTACTTTTTTGGGAGTGCATTTTGGAGGTTGGAGATTTCATATGTATGTCAGGGGTCAACTCCCCAAATTTAATATATATGAAAAATTTTGCTCAGAATATAAATTGCACTTTTCCTTTTTTCAACAGTGAATTTAGTAAAAATCCCCATATCGTGAGTTTTGTTGGAAATCAGGTAACTATAAGAAGAGCTGATGGCTCACTGATTCACATCAGCATATCACCATATCCTGCTATTCTCCACGAATACGTAAGCAGTTCAAAATGGGAAGATGCTGTAAGACTTTGTCGTTTTGTTAAGGTACTTTACATTTCAGATCCATAGTTGTGTATATATTGTATATTAGTTTATATAATATCTTTGTGCAAAATGAGAAATGGTAAGAGCTAAGGGCGGGAAAAATTGCAAATGGGATCACATCTTTTTTTTAATAAGTGAAGACATGGGTGATACAGAGAGATAGGTGTTGTGTGATTTATTCTCTGAAGAAGCTATACTTTAAGTGAGTAGTTTCTTCTTACTGGTACATATAAAAACCTCTTATGGAACTTTTTTTTAAAAGTCAGATTCCCAAGTTCTACCTCCCACAGAGATTCTAATTTATTAGATCCAGTGAGCCTGGGCATACTTTTAAGTTCCTCAGATTATTTGTACAGCTAAGGTTAAGAACCACTCACTACTTTAGATCAGCATTTCCCAGCCTGGTTGAATCAAGTATTTTCCAAGCATATTTGACCGCAGAACTGTTTTATTTTACATTGGTTAATTCCCTTAGACTACACTTTTGTGAAGACTTTTAGATGCTTTTCCTTACAATGGGTTGTTGGTGGCAATCTGCTATAATAGCGTTGTCTGAGAAACTCACTGTTTCTCTGGTTCCCTGTAGTTGCATTCTTTGACATCTCATCAAAAAGACTGGAGGGCTTATAACCTTGAATTATGGTAAAAGTATATTGTCAGTTCAAAATAAACCTTTGATCATTAGAAATGAACATTTTCAAAAAACTTTATTCAAAACATTCTCTATGTGTTATTAATATATTTTAACAAAGTAGCCACAATGAAATTTCCACATCATTAACCTATTAAATTATTGGTTTTTCAGTGCCATGCTCAGTGATTTTTTATTTTTCATTAAAATATAACTTTATTCTATTTTAATTCACTGTTTATTTTAAGGCAGTTCAGCCCTGTAGTTGAAATAATTGTTCTCATTTTTCACTTTAGGAGCAAACCATGTGGGCTTGCCTAGCTGCTATGGCAGTCGCTAATCGAGATATGACTACTGCAGAAATAGCCTACGCAGCAATTGGTGAAGTAAATAATGTTTACTTACGTGTATGTGTTTGTGTGTTTTTCTTACCGTAATTTACTATTCACTTCAAATATTTTCCTTTTTTTTTAGATTGATAAGGTTCAATACATCAATTCTATAAAAAATCTTCCATCTAAAGAATCAAAAATGGCCCACATATTAATGTTTAGTGGGAACATACAGGAGGCTGAAATGGTACTTCTTCAGGCTGGCCTTGTTTATCAAGCGATTCAGATCAATATTAATCTCTACAACTGGGAAAGGTAATAAAAATGTTTTTCATCAATTCCAAAACCTGATTGATCTTAGTGTATTCTTCTACCGACCACTTAGTAAATTACATCTTCCACTGTACTTGTTTCCTAGTATCATGTAAGAATTTATTCACATTTATATTTGTGAGTAGTTTGCCATTAAAGATTTTTGCCTTCTCTGAATCATGATTGATTAGAAGTTGTCTGTGAAGAAGAAAAGAGAGTCTAGGATGTCTCCAGAATTTCTGATTTCAGTAACTGGATAGATGGTGGTAAGAATATTAGCAGATTTGGAAGAGATGTTAGATTTGAAATATTTGTGAAGAGATAAGTGATAATAGTTGATTATTGGACCTGGAGCTCAAGAAAGATTTGAACTAGAGATGTCAATTTAGGAGTCATCAGCAAATGAATGGAAGCTAGAAGAATGGATGCAGTTGCCTGGGGAATGTGAGGAGTGAGAAGACATAAACTATTTTTATGGGATGGGTGAAAAAAAAGAGAAATCCGCTGAAAGATTGGCGTAAAGCAGTCAGACAGGCAGAGAGAGGAGCCAAGGAAGATTTGTGAAGCTAAGGAAGAGATACCAAAGGATTTGTAACGAGGAGTGGTCAGTAACCTTCCCTGCTGCCTTAGGCTTTGGGACAGGTTGCTTTCTGAGGCTGAGTGGCAGGCTGCTCTTCTCTATGACATATTAGGTTTCTCTACTCATTCTCTCAGGTATGTCTCTCTCAGTGAACAAGGTTGTAGTGCTTATATGCACCTGAAGTTACTGTGTTACAAAGCTGGCATGTTGACTTTTCCAGGTTTGAAATGTCTTTCATCATCTTCGTCTCTCTCTGTGCTCAAAAATAACCCATAAATCTTTCAATTACTGGCCCCTTACTTATAATCCCCTCAGATTAGAATTTTTATAGTCCTATCTCTATCTTCCCCTTGAATAGAAGTAACGAAATGGCTAAAAAAGTAACAAAAGGTAGTTAATTTTGTTATGGACATACTATAGTCTCTTTATTTAATTTATACATTAATTATCTACACTCTTCATACAATTCAGCCACCCTGTTTCTATCCTTTATTTTCACAAATTTGTTGTCATTGTTTGGCTATACAAAGGATCATGAAAGATGTTTTAGGCTCTACAAATATGAATAGGCCATTGTTCTTATCCTCAATTTATTCATAATTCACAAATATTAAAGTAACTATTTTGGAAAGAGACAGTATGAATAATTTTTTAAAACCCTGTATTAAAGAACTAACAGAAAATTGTATATACCATTACTAAGCCATGAGTTCCATGAGAAATAGGGAAGAATGGTGTTCACAGCATATTTTCAACTGATACTTTTGAGAAAATGTTTATGTTGATAAATGTTAGGCATTACTATTTATATAGCACTCTGAACACCATATAGTATAACAGATATTTTAAAAATCATCCTTATATTAAAAAGCTTGCAACCTACTTAGGAATTCCATTTTATTGTCATTAATAATAGTGAGGCTTCTATTTATTGAGTGCTTATCATGTGCCAAGAATTGTGTTAAACACTTTCCTTATATCATCTTATTTGGTCATCACAACATTATACAAATGAGGAAGTTGAGGGTTACTCATAAGTAGCTGGCTGATCTAGGATTTGAACCTAAGTCTTCCAGTATCAAAGAGGACCTGAATTTTCTGCTATTACCACAATAAAATATATACTGCTGATACTACTACTTACATTGTTTTATAGGATTGATGTTTACCTCTTTTGTTATTTATCTTTGTAAATTTTATGTCACCTTTCACCTTTCAGATTATACACTTCTAGGATAGAAACATTTTATCATTTTATATTATCTTTATACATAGTAGGTACTTAATATTCATGCTCTTAATCTTTATGCAATACTCTTAATCATTTTGCCTTGCACTTCCTCTACAAACATTGGGTGTAGATACATACAGTATATAAATATCAGAGCAGGTCCGTGAAGCATTTGCCTCTGATGGCTTCTATTGATGGCCTATAATACAGCCCTTTGAACATTTCTCATACCTCCTTGACCTAAGTGAAAATTACCTCTTTCCAGAGGACACTCCTTCCCTACCAGTCCTCTCAGATGGAGTCAGTTTATTCTCTCTGACTCCACATTCCTTATGTCTGGGTGTGAGTGCAGTTGGTGTCCTTTTTGCCTCCCCCATCTTTACTTCTCTTGTAAAATCTCTGATCCTTTGAGACTTAGGTCATGTGACTATACTTATTCTCTGCTAACTTCACATCTTCCCTACTATCCCTACATCCTGCTATCTGTGCCGCCTCTTCCCCTCCTCCAGTTTTCAGCAAATGACTCTGCCTTAAGATATTAGATCTCAGGGAGAGGGAAAACAAGAGGGACAAAGAGATATAATGGGGAAAGAGAACGAATGCTGGGTGCTCCTCCGTTCCCCCTATCTACCTGGCATCTCCTTTTCTTATGCTTTGTGTTTTTCATCTAAACTATAAACCAATGGGTTGGTCAAATGCTGGTAGAACTTTATGCCTGCCTGGCAAGTCAATAAACGTCAAGGAGCGTTGTTCAAGGCTCCTGATTACTATTTACACACTTAAGACTCCCAAATATGCATCTTTCTTCTAGCCCTCTGTCCTGCCCATGTTTGCTTCCAGAACCCAGTTATCCATCTGCCTATTCAGCATTTCCATTGACTGTCTCATATGTTTGAGTTCAAATTTATATTTATTCCCTCATAAACTTGGTTCTCTTCCAGAGTAATCTATCTTATCTTTTCAGTCTACCCAAAGCTGGAAATTTAGGAGTTACTTTTGACATTTTCCTTACCCTCTTTCCCCCATACTCCAATTACCAACCATTTTCCCTCTCAAATACCTCTGGCACTCATCCACTTTACTACCAGCACCCTTATCTAAGCTGATCCAAGTTTTTCTTTTTTTTTTTTTTTTTTTTTGGCCACACCGTGCGAGCATCTTAGTTCCCTGACCAGGGCTTGAATCCACACCCCATGCAGTGAAAGTGTGGAGTTTTAACCACTGGACCTCCAGGGAATTCCCTGATCCAAGTTTTTCTTAATAAAACATCATCATTGGTCTCTCTGCACCTACCTTGTCCTTTTCCTATCCATCCTTCATACTGTAGTCATAGTGATCTTTTCACAGTGGAAATCATCATGTCACTCTTGACCCCTGACTCACTTAAATGAAACCCATAGTTTCCCATCACTTTTAGCATAAATATCAAAGACTGGATAAGAATGACTTTAGATAATCAGCAGAAGTAATTTATAAGTGCTAAGAAACTCTTAAAAATCTTATGTATTGTCTTCATTTCCAAATTCTGCAGATATTTCTGAAACCAGTTGGAATATTTCTTCCTAATGCATATTCATTCATTCAGCAGACATTTATTGAATGTCTGCCATACCAGACATATTTAGATATAACATGGAGATCTGCTTAAAACAACAACAGCAGTCTTTTGGTGAAATGTCTGGTCATTTTTTTAAAAAAGTATTTATTTATGTTTTAATTTGTTTGTTTGCTCCGGCTCCTTAGTTGCAGCACGTGGGCTCCTTAGTTGCGGCATGCTAACTCTTAGTTGTGACATGCATGTGGGATCTAGTTCCCAGACCAGGGATCGAACCTGGACCCCGTGCATTGGGAGCACAGAGTCTTAACCACTGAGCCACCAGGGAAGTCCCACGTCTGGTCATTTTTAATGACTTGTTCAAAAGGACTGCTGAATGGTACAAAGACAAATGTAGTGGTTAAGAATGGGGCCTTTGAAATAAGACCTGGGTTTGATTTCTGGTTCTGCACTTACTAGTCCTGTGATCTTGGACAGATTAGTGAGGCTCTGTAAGCCTCTGTTTCCTTGTGTTTAAAATGGTGATGATAACAAAAACCACATGTTTGTTGTCGGGATTAAGTAAAATAGCATGTGAAAATCTCTTAGCATACTGCCTGATACATAGTAAGCCTTCAATAAATGGTAGCTACTATTCATTCTTTAATTATTTATTGAATGTCTCTAGTGTGCCAGGTTTTAGGCATGGGGGGATATAGCAATGAACAAAACTGACAAAGTTCTGTGATGACAATTTTGATTCTAAATGATATAGCTAATATAAAAAAATAGAGGGATAAATACTTGGATCCAATATAGGAATCAGCTTATAACAACATAATCCAAAGAATGGCTTGCTTAGAGAGTAGAATAATCCCCATCTGCGAAGGTATTCAAACATAGGACGATGATAAAATTATGTGACTGATTGATTAGTTAATAATAGACTTCTTGCATGCCTATCTATGTAGATGGTGTTCTTTTAAAAATGATCTTATTTTTTCTCCACATGTATTACCCTCTTCTGGGAGTGAGTAAATAATTGTTCTCATAAACTAAGACTTCCAGAACTGGTTTATGTTATCAAATAGTGTTTCGAGTTTTAAAAAAATTTTTGAGTGTTGTGTATATTCCAGGAAAGTCTGGCAGGGCTTTAATTTGCCTGTGTCTTTCATCAGGAGGGTAAGCCCACATTTGGTATCTGTGTAGAACCGAAGCTGTACTGGATGGTAAATTTTTGTTTTGGGGTGAGTGGGGAGGGCGGGGTGGTGACTAAGCTGTCTAACAATTTGGATTTGTTGAGTTTTAGTTACCTTTGTGTATCCAGTTCATGAGGTCCAGCAGGAGTGGGATATACAGGTGTGAAGTTGAGGGGAGGTCCTAGACATTGGGGGAAAGACACTGAGGGAATTATCAGCCTTTGGAGTAGCTGCGGCCATGAGTGTGGCTCAAGAATTTAAAGAAGGAAAAAGAAAAGAGGGCAGGGCTTCCCTGGTGGCGCAGTGGTTGAGAGTCCGCCTGCCGATGCAGGGGACACGGGTTCGTGCCCCGGTCCGCGAAGATCCCACATGCCGCGGAGCGGCTGGGCCCGTGAGCCGTGGCCGCTGAGCCTGTGCTCCGCAACGGGAGAGGCTACAACAGTGAGAGGCCCGCGTACCACAAAAAAAACAAAAAAAAGAAAAGAGGGCAGCAGGCAGATTTCCCCTGAAATTCAACACTTAATGATCTGGTTGAAGAGGAGGATTCAGCGAAAGAGATCAGGACGGACCAAAAAAGATGGAATTTAAAAACTATTTATTATGGAAAATTTCAAATGTATACAAAAGTAAAGAGAATAGTGTAATAAATCTCCATGTACCCATCACTCAGCTTCAACAGTTACCAATTTGTGAATAATCTCTACTCCTCCTCTATCCCTCCCCACAATTTTTAAAAGCAAATCCCAGTCATAATATCATTTTATCTATGAATATCTCAGTATGTATCTTAAAGATTTTTTTAATCCAGCCACAGTATCATGATCACACTTTTAAAAGTTAACAATAATTCTATTCAGTGTGCTTATTTCTCTGATTATCTCATAAATGTTTTGTTTTATGGTTTGTTTGATTCAGGATTCATAAAATATTCATACATTTTGATTGGTTGATACATTCTTAGGTTTCTTTTCATCTATAGGTTCTCCTATTTCTTTTTTGTGTTTTCTTGCTATTTTCCCAACTGGGCCTGTAGAATTCTGGAAGGATAGAATTTAAGTATTGGATGATAAATATATTAGATTGCTTTTAGGATTCCTGAATTTCTATATTTGTTTAAATCCTTTAGAAGGGAACAGATTTTACTTTGTTAATATGGGTTATTCTATTTGAGAAGCATAGTCTTGCTGCTTTGTGCTTCCGTCATTTATATTTGAACTTGAAAATTGCCTACAACCTAATAAGATGCAGCCCTTGAGGAGTAGTACATATGCAAGTTATCTATTTGACATTCACTTTGGACATTTGGTGGTAGTCTGTTTTCAAACACTGAAGTTAAGAGAGGTAGAAACTAGAAGCTCCAGGTATGCATATTGATCCTTTATGTAAGTATTAATAAAAATAGTTTTTCTACTTATACCAGTTATATAAAGTGATTTTGCTTCGTTCAAGTTATGCAAAAAAATTATATTTTGAAGTTATAACATCTTTTAATGTAACTTCCTTCTGTTTAAAATCAGAGAGGATACATGGAGTTTTTCCAGCCCCATAATCTAATGTTACATTTGTTTGGTTGCTGAATAACCATTTTAAAGCTAGAGACATACTGTTCCCATAACTCTTAGATAATTTGGAGTAAATTCCCTCCTAAATGTGGTAGAGAAACATTTTTTACCCAGTGTGTGCTTTTAGAGAACATTTAAAATAGCACATATCGTTTGAATGTTTAACTTTAGCTATTGCTTTTCAATCAGATAATTAATATGTATTTTATAATAATAATAATGACTGTAATAGCAGATAAGTCTTAGCATCTAAATGCAGGATTAGAAACTTCCCTGGCGGTCCAGTGGTTAAGACTTTGCCTTCCAATGCAGGGGGTGTGGGTTCTATCCCTGTTCGGGGAGCTAAGATCCCACATGCCTCGCAGCCAAAAAACCCAGAACATAAAACAGAAGCAATATTGTAACAAATTCAATAAAGACTTTAAAAATGGTCCACATAAAAAAATCTTTAAAAAAAAATAAATGCAGGATTAGACATCATAGTCTATCCTTTCTACATAATTAAACGTGTTGATGTTCCATAACAAAGTCTCTCTTTGGAATTTTTGAAAAGCCCCAACCCAGAATAGATGCTTATGTATTCCCCACTTAGAACACCTCCAGTTTTGCAAAGTCGAGAACTCCTTCCCCCATCATGTACAATCATAAAGAAAGAATGGGAACTGGAACTTCTGAGGTGCCGGCGAGGTTGTTCACCAGAGTCTCCACTCACACATACAACACGGGAATCAGAGCCTTAGGGATGAAGAGGGGGCTGATGTGAGAGAGGGCTAGAAGAATTAAGGCATCTTTACTTCTGTTTCTCATCTTTTGAGCCTCTATAGATCGTTTCTTGCCTTCTCTTCTTTTCTACTTTTGTTCCTCTGTATCCTAATACCTCTGCATTTTTTCCATGTGTCTTTCTCTGAAAGACAGAAAGTCACAGAGGAATGAGGGAACTTTGTGAGGAGTTTGTGATGGGTAGCAAATATCCTTGGATTTAGCAATATTGTTTATGCCAATATATTTTTGTAAGAAATCATTGTACTGAACTTTGACATTATCATTTGTATTATACATGACTTACATTCATAATTTATCATATTGTCTTTAATATCTCAATTGTCTATCATTTGTCAATTAATACATACATAATATCTAAAATACTTTTTAAAGTGACAATTTAGTTTACATCAAACCAAAGCATGCTAAGAATCAAACAAATTTTCCTACTAAACAGTCACACATTGCAAAAATTCTAGTCAGTAGTCAGTTTTGTCTAAAACAACAAGTTCGTAATAGTTGGCTCTGATAAACCATCACTGGCCTATTCAGAAATCATGTGTTATATTAGAAAGCAAGAGAACTTGAGAAATATTGTACTTTGACTATTATGATGACTGTTTCCCATACTTTAAAACAGGATAACAATGAACAGTGTAGGAGAGCTATATTCTACTAGATTGTTCCTGGCTCAGCTAATATGAGTTATGCATAGGATCACGGGCTGAGTTGCTGTCCAAAACCTACAAGCAAAAATAGGCCTGGAACTGAAGAATAATCTTTTCATCTCCCTCCAAATTATCAATATATAGATTTTATGCCTTTGGTGTTATAACAGTGAATTTAGCAGTTCATTTAGCTCTTGTCTGCTATTTAAATAAAATATTACCTTAAAATAACTTGGTTACATAGATAGATATTAATTAACTTATAAAATTTAAATGGCTATTAGCTTTTTCTAAGAATCAAATGGCAAAAGGCATTTTGTCAGACTTTTATTATCCTCAAATTTTATTTTCATAATATTTTTAATTTACTGTACTAATAATAAGGATAAGTAAGGGTATCAGTATTTATTGAATATTGAACAGAATAAATTCATTACTGACTTAAAAAATGGTCAAATAGTCGAACCACTTACATTAGGGGAGTTCATTCACTTGAATTTTATTATGATTTCAATGAATTTTTCAATGAACATTTATGATACATACACTCTGTAGTACTCACCAAAGAGAAATGAAACCCAGATCTCCCTTCAATAAATGTGTAGGTTAGTGGAAGGAACAGATTCATAATAGTTACAATACACTGTAAGCAGAGCTGAAATAATAGTATGTATAAAATGTTCTGTAGCACAGATAAGATATAATGGTCATTTATTTCTACAAGGAGAGCTGGTCAGGGAGAAGAGATCATGTTTGGTCTGGACCCTGAAGTATAAGTAGGAATTTGCAAGATGGATAAGGTAGGGAATGACGTGCCTTTCATATTGAGGGAGGAGTGGAGGGATCAATATAGACTTTCCCACCCTTTCACCCCGAAACTCCACTGCCCGTAGAGGCTAACACAGCAATGCGGATAATCTGTTTTCTTTCTCATTGTAGGGCACTTGAATTAGCTGTTAAATACAAAACACATGTTGATACAGTGCTGGCCTACCGACAAAAGTTTCTGGAGACATTTGGTAAACAGGAAACTAATAAACGATACCTGCAGTATGCAGAAGGTGTAAGTATTATGCAGTATTTGATAATAATGTATATGTTTTATAAGTATGTATTATTCATCCTAATGCGACAAAATTTGAATAATTCTTACCATAATCTCTAAAAAAAAACTACTTTTTGCCTTTCAATGTTAGTCTTATTTTGACTATGTAATTATATTACTGAATATTTTTCTGGACTCTTATAGCCATGTTTTGATTAACTCAAGTCTGGTTTTATAATATTCAATTTGTGTTAAGGTTGTGTGCTAACTGATATTTTTAGATAAACTATAAATGGCAAGGATGAAGGCTTCTAGCTCCTGAATTTTGTCTTCTACCAGCTGCCCTTTCTGCTCCAGGGGACATACATAAGCACAGAGGGCACTGGCCAGAAAATGGATACTTTGCCACTTTGCAGATTCTATCTAGGGAGCTCAGTTGCACTTCAAAAGGTGCCTGGCCTGGGTAGAGTTCACCGCCTAGAACAAAAGAATGCTCACCCTTTGCCTCTCAAGTTCCTACCAGAATATAAGGTTTTATAAACCCAATTAGAAAAAAGCCATTCCAGTACATATCAGCACACAGGAGAGCCAGAACAAGGACGTTTGTCCCAGCGCCTAGAGCAGAAAAGATTGTGGCCACCTGCCCAGATCCTTCTATACTCAAATGGCAGAAATAGAGCTCACCTGTAGCCATGCAGATTCAAGAGACTTGTAATCCCAAAACAGGGCCAACCTTGCTCCCAGCTCTGTGAACTAGTTGATTCCTTTAGCCTTTTAGTCATTCATTTATTCAAAAAATGTTTATGAGTACTAACTCCAGGCCAGGCACTATGCTATGTGTTGAAACAGATATGGCTTCTGTCTTCATGGAGCTTATAGACCGTGGGAGTGCCCCTCCTTGGGGATAGAATAAAATGGAATGTTCTGATTTATCGTAGGGGGCAGAATATATAAGAGGAAGCTTGGGAAGAGGAAAGAAGATGTAGAGAGAAGGCACCTACTAAAGGCAACATTATCCATTTGCCGTATTTAGAATATTGAGTGTCATGAACCACATTTTTGGACTTCAGACCAGTTTTCAGGGTAATGAAGCCTTTGGGGCCATTTTTAGTTCTGCAGTGCAACTTTATCATCTGGATCCAGGATAGACACAAGTTGTGGGTTTCTTGGTGGAAAGGGATGTATTTTATAGAAGCTCCACGAAATTTTTTTTGTTTGATTCAGAACTGTTTACTACTGAAATGGATCCTTCGGGAGTTTGGGCTATGAGGGCTTCCCTGGGAGCTCTGAGGGCTATACTCTCAATTCACAGAATATGACAGCAGCCACCAGCACTGAGTGCTAAGCAGCCCAGAGATTCAGTAGTCACCTCATCTTTTTTGTCTCAGTTTTGAAAATATGACAGTATGTTAAAAATGAGCACCCACCTTAAATTTACTTTATTGTATAATTTTTAAGCAGATTAATACTACTCTGCTTCCTCTTCGTCATCATTACTGACAATATTATTTTCACTGTGTTCACATTAGGTGCTTTTGAGGACATAAAAAATATAGTTTTTACCCTCAAGGAAATTATATTTCAGATATTAAAAACTTAACATTCATATCTTCTTTTTCATTATATACGTATTCACCTATAACTAACATATGATACTTCAGTCACAAGAGTAGTAGAAATGTTCAAAGTGGGAGAATCAGAACAACACGGCTTTTTTTGGTATTTTGGTTTCTTTTCATCCTGAAACTATATAGGTTACTTTGAGTCTCTATGGCGCTATGTTCTAGTTTCCTACTTTTCTTCTTCACAGATGTAATTTGGAAGTTAACTAGAAATCATAAAGCAGTATTTTAAGATGAAAATTATCTTTGACTTAAAAATTATCTTAGCCAAAATTGTGATTATATAAACTCTTTATTTCAGTGCTAAGAATTGAATAGGAAAAGATCATTCTTAAAAAGAAATTTATTCTCCCTATCTGGTGAACTCAAATGGGCTCACAACGCATAGCGTAAAAGTTTATAAGAAGTGGAGTTTGACATACATTCATATTTATGAGCCCTGAAATGTTATTTGGGCCTTTCTAGTTTAAAATATGGAAATCTGAGATCCATACACGGTGTACTATCTTCTAAGAACCCCATTAGAGCCATTATACCTGCTCTACAAGGGTGTTCAGTAAGTATTTGTAAAATAATTTATGAGTCTGGCAAATAAAGTCCACTTGAGGAATGCATTCAATCTACTGAATACATACTCTGTGCAGGAAGAGAAGTAGAAGAGACAGGAAATGTTTAAAGCATTATGCTAGGAGAAAGAAAAAAAGAGGGAAAAACAGGAGAGAAAATAACGAGAGATTGTTAAGTGATAGCTCATTTGCTGGATAATTAGTTACCTTTTATTCATTCAGTATTTACTGAGCACCTCCTGCAGGCAATGTACTCTCCTTGGTGGTTGGGATATAATAGTAAACCTGGCAAACACTGACCCTCGTGAAACTTATATTCAAATGGAGGTGATAGTTAATGATACAGTTAATTGTTCATTTCAGTTGTGATAAACACCTCGAAGGTAGTGTACATAGTGCTGTAAGACTTTATGAATGACAGGCCTGACCTGGGGTGGGGGGGATCAGCAGATTTTTCTAAGCAAAGCAATTGCTATTTGAGCTGAGCTGTAAAGAATGGATAGTAGAAGCTGACTGAGGGTGTGGGGGGAGGGTGTGGCGATGGCCGTGTTCTAGGCAGAGGGAAGGCTCTGAAGTGGGAAAGAGTGACGAGCAAAAGGGAGATTGACCCGAGGGTTTCATAGGGCAAGTTCGGCATATTGGATTTACCCTAAGATTAATGTAAAGATACTGAATGGAAGTGACGTGATCACTTTTCCCTTTTAAAATCCCAGTTCCTAAGTGGAAACGGAAACTTGGAATTTTCCACCAAAGTATCCTTTTTTCCCCTTTGGAAATTGTATACTTTGTATTTGTTAGTTTTCATTTTTAAAATTTATTTATTTATTCCATGGAATTATCTTGAGTAGGATTTTGTCAGTCAGTTAAAGGATATGATAATAAGAGCAAATGCATGGGATCTTGAAAGAATGGTGCAGGAGTACAGAGTGACTGCCCTGGGTCCTGGGTGCTGGGTCCTGGGTGGCTGGAATATTGATGGGACCAGACATTAAAGAGTCTTAACACTGTGATAATAGACCTTATAATGGAGGCAGTGCAAAGACTTGGAGGTTTGTAATCAAGAAAATGACCTGAAAGATAACTTCTGATGTGGAAGATGGATTAGAGGTAAGGGCGGTGACAAGGAGACCAGTTAGGAGGTTACTGTAATAATCTCAGCAGGAGATGGAGACTGTAGGATTAATGTAAGAAAAAGTAGCAGTAAAATTAATAGAACATTGTGGTTGGGGGTGGGAGGAGAGGTGGTGAGGTAAGGCAAGACATTTGAGAACAACTTCAACATTCCTAGTTGGTGACTGGTAGAGGAACATGAGCATATATGAGATTTGGACCTTTTGAGTTTGAATACATGAAAATAGGCCATTGTTTTGAGTTTGAAGTCCCTGTGGGGTGGCCCCTATCTAGGCAGAGATGTCTAGTGGGCAGTTGGAAATACCAATGTGAACATCAAAGGGTGTTGATAAAGGAAGAATCAGGGCTAGATAAATAAATTTATGGTCATGACCATTTAGGAATAGTTGAAGCTATGAGAGTTGAGGAGATCTCCTAGGGAAAGTATGAAAAAGCTGTGGTTGGAACCCCAGTGAATACTAACAGTGAAGAGGTTACTGAGGGGAAGGATATAGGAGAAAAAGAAAAACAAAAGACTGAGGACATTTAGAAAAGAGAGCAGAAACCAGAAGAGAACAATATTGTACTGAGAGAGATATTTCAAAGAGCGGTGGTCAGCCAGGTCCAGGGGCTGCTCCTACATCAGGACCTTTTTCTTCCCTCTGTCTGTTAGTATGCTGTTCCCCAGATACACCCAGAGAGTCACTCACTCATCATCAGGTCTTCACGTCAGCTTCTCAGGGAGGCCTTCTCTGATCACTCTGTTTGAAATACAACACCCATCCCCCCCCAACTCCACCCCGGCGCTATCTCCCTCCCCTGTTTCCAAAACTTTTACCACTATTACTTGTCTTTGTTTATCTTTCTATGAAGACAGTGATTTTTATCTTTTTGTTCACTGCTAAATCCTTGCTCCTAGAGCGATCCTGGGCATAGAGTGAGCATTAAATATTCGTTGAATGAGCAATTGAGTCGTATAGAGAAGGTGTACAGGATGAGGGATTAAAACACTTAATGGTGGCGTTAGTGAAAAGCTTCTGAGGTGTAGTGGGAACACAGTCGTACTACAGTGGTCTGGGGAGAGGATGAGAGTCAGGAGTGAAAAGAAGAATGAAGGTGGTAGCTTGTAGGGAGACGGAATACAGAGGGAAGGATGATGAGGGGCAGCCAGTGAAGAGAAGGAAATTGAAATATGTAGGTAATAATTGAAGGCCGATGTCCTAGAGGAGTCAAAGAAGACGAGATCAGGGACTTATGTGAAGAGGTTGCCCTGAGACAGAAGGGAACGAGATAAGGATGGATACCCTACTTTTATGAGAGGAAGGAAATTAAGTGAATTCATGCCTGATGGCCACTATATTCTCTGTAAAGTAGGAAGCTGATTTTCGGCTGAGAGTAAGAGAGATGGGGTAGAAGATGGAGAGCCATTTGCTATGATTTTAAAATTATTATTATGTGAATAAGAAGAATTGACCAACTAGGGACTAGAATAAGAAGTGCCAAGTAGTATTAACACTCCCTAGACTAGAAAAGGATGTGTTTCAGTGTAGAAGTCACTTGACAGCTGTCATGAGTACATCCTTATGTAAAACTCACTATTAAAAATACTCTATTCCAGAGACTAAATTATCAGGAGAACATTGTTCTAAAACTGGACAAATGCCAGAGTGAAAGTGAAACGTTTATTTTCAGTAGGATAGCTGTCAACTGACACCCTCATTTGTACTATAACAAGTAACTAATATAGATGTCATCAATCTGCTTGATGCACTTCTGGTGCAGCTGAGCAACAGTTGTTGAGTGTATCATCAATACATGGTTTTATTGTGATTGATCTGAAGAACATATGTAAGTCAATTTAAGCCTGGAAGAAGGCCAAGGCATTCATCAAGTTTTGTCTTTCTCTTTGCAAATGTTTTCTTAGACGAGTTGTTTTGCCATTTAAAAACATCAAGTTCTGACCTGATTGAAAAATGAGTCTTTCAAATAACCTAACATTTGCTCTGCCTTTTGATAAGCTGTCACTTGCATCTGAGCACAGACTTTCATCTTCTATGAGTAAAGGGATTCTTTTAATTCATCAATTTTATGTATTATAGACAAGTATATGGAATGATTATCTAAAATATATCCATAAATTACTTCACAGGAATTTAGAGAAAGGATATTGGAATAAAAAAGAACCAAATACTTAATTCTACCTACTTCCAACACAAAATAAAAGAGGCGTGAAGTCCTGTTAAGGTTAAATTAGTCTCAGTTACTTAAGGTAAATCTGTTCAGGCAGCAAGTAGTAACGCAGTCTGCTTTAATACTGCTTATTCCACTCAGCTCCCCTACATGGAGGTGAAAACCTATTCACTTTGGGCTCAGTCTCAGGAGTTTGGGTTTATTTCAAAGTAAATCAGAGTTAGTTTTAGGTAGGACCCAGTTTTTCCCATGTCTTGCCTGAGAGGACACACATTCCTTAATTAGTGATCTCCAAAGTTTTAAAAATAGTAGAAGGCTTTTTCCCAAAGAAATTGTTTATTGAATTCAGAGCAGAGTCCATTCCTAACACTATGTCTGTTGATTTAGTGGAGGGGCAGGGCTGGATTTTGGGGGGGTCTGGTGGTTGGCTGAAAACAGATAAAAATATTATCACTTTTCAGTTATTCTTTTTATGTGTCTTTCAGCCTTGCTTTCCCACTTCTTCCTCTAATATCTTTTCATCATTTTCTTTTTTTCCATAAATTTATTTATTTTAATTTTGGCTGCGTTGGGTGTTCGTTGCTGTGCGCGGGCTTTCTCTAGTTGCAGTGAGCGGGGGCTACTCTTTGTTGCGGTGCGCGGGCTACTCATTGTGGTGGCTTCTCTTGTTGCGGAGCACGGGCTCTAGGCGCACGGGCTTCAGTAGTTGTGGCGTGCAGGCTCAGTAGTTGTGGCTCACGGGCTCTAGAGCACAGGCTTGGCAGTTGTGGCGCACGGGCTTAGTTGCTCCGCGGTATGTGGGATCTTCCTGGACCAGGGTTTGAACCCGTGTCCCCTGCATTGGCAGGCGGATTCTTAACCACTGCGCCACCAGGGAAGCCCTCGTCATTTTCTTACCACCAAGTCTTCATATTATTTTAAGAGTTGTGAAGGAGCCCCTTTTGCAGAGTATGCTCTGGGAAAGCAGATGCTCCCCTTTCTTTCTCCATAGGCAGGCTCCTAATGGAAACGTCAGTATAAAAGCAGTGAAGAGTTGACCCATTTGAAACATGGCCTACTGTTTCAAAAATGGAGCCCGGTCCATTCTCCCCCTTGTTTGGAGGAGAGCAGTCCATCTTCACTCGCTCCTACCCCCTCAAACCTGAGGCACCGGAGCAGAATCCCAAGGCTCCATGGGACAGTTTAGATGTGCCTTTTATAAATAGCTACAACCAGATTTTGGTCTTTGGTATCACAATGAGAGTCTTTGCTTTTTATTGTGATAATTGTTCTATTAGGTCTTATTCTTAACGCTATTTCATTTTTTGGGGAGCATTATCTCTTCTTAACTTTTCTTTCCTGCCCTCTTTTTTCTCAAATGTTTTGGAAGTCTGTTTTTGTTTACTCTTAGTTACTTTGCATTAAACAAAAATGTCTTATACTATATATGCATGTTTCTTCTTTTCTTCTACTGCAGCTTGAAATAGATTGGGAGAAAATCAAAGCCAAAATTGAGATGGAAATTACTAAAGAACGAGAGCGATCCTCAAGCAGCCAGCCCAGCAAGAATATTGGTCTTATGCACTAAATGCCATGCTTACCTTTAAGAAGTTTTACCTTTTGAAACTGATTCTGATTAACCAAGGATAAGCTTGTTTTCCTTGCTTAAAAAAAGGCAGAATCTCTAAATATAAGCGCTCGCTGTGTATTTAATACCAAAAGGATATTCAGAAAGACTAAGCACAAAATAATTGATGTAATTTCATCTTTTATATTTTTAGTCCAATAATTAGCAAAACAGCCTATATATTTACGATGCATCTATGTAGTATTGCTTACATTCCAGTTTTCTGTCCATTATTTTATCCCTGAATCTTCAGTATGAACAATATTAATGCTGATAATAAAACATTGGACTCTTTCAAATGTATGTCATCATTAATTTCTATTTGATCTCAATTGTAAAGTGCTCCAAAAGTTTATTTATACAACAACAAAAAATGAAGCTTGACTTATGAAAGTATAAAATAATACATATACTTGTATACCAATGTTCATAGCAGCAGTATTCACAATAGCAAAATGGTGGGCAAAAAAAGACGGTCATCAACAGATGAATGGATAAACAATATGCGGTATTTACACACAGTGGAATATTATCCAGCCTTTAAAGAGAATGAAATTCTGATACGTGCTACAACATGGACGAACCTTGAAAATACTATGCTAAGTGAAATAAGCCAGACACAAAAGGTCACACATTGTATGATCCCACTGACATGAGATACCAAAAATAGGCGAGTTCACTGAGTCAGAAAGGTGAATGAATAGTAGTTGCCAGGGACTGTGGGAGGGAAAATTGGGGAGCTATTGTTTAATAAGTTCAGAATTCCTGTCTGGCGTGAATGAGCTGTGGAAATGGATAGTGGTGATGGTTGCCCAACATTGGAAATGTACTTAATGCCACTGAATTATACACTTGAAAATGGTTAAAATGGTAAATTTTGTTATATATATTTACCATAATTTTAGAAATATATCTAGAATGGGCAAGAAATATTTTCCTCATTCCTTTTCTGACTCGAGAATGTTTAGGCACTAGGCCCTAGAGTCTGAATTTGTGAAAATCTCCTTAAATGATCAATCTGTTTGACTAGCCTTAATTCAGCATGTCCCCAAACTATTATTACCACAAAGCCTTTTAACGTTGACACAAATAATCCTTAGAAATTCTTCCAGGAAGCCATTTTTGGAAATGGTGTATTATAGAGTGGGCGTAGGCATATGCATGGGAAAGTGATTACCTCTCTCACCCCCATTTTAATTAACATATCTAGTTTTTTTTTAATGAAAACGTTCCTATGTTTTCAACATATTCCTTTTTCTTTCTGGAATGTTGGAATGTTCTGTTCTTCATCCAGATGCTGGGTACAAAGGTGTGTCAGTTTGTGAAATATGATTGAGCGGTTTACTTATAAGTTGTACTTATACATGTTTTCTATATTATGTTATATGACAATAGAAAGTTTAAAAAAAGATGGTCAAAAGAGTAAACTTTATATTATGTTTATTTTACTACAATTTAAAAACAATATATAAAATATAATTTTATATATAAATTTTATATATATATATAAAATATAAAACAATATATACTACATATATACATATACAATATATACTACAATATAAAAACAATATAATGAAGTGTGTCTGCATTCTACCAATTCTCTGATAACCAGCTAGGTGCCCTACCATTCAATTCAATTCTGACACTACCCAGAGTTAGTGTAGGTCGCACAAGTTAAAGGGAAAAATCCCCAGCTAGACTGCCCTTATTTCAGTTGCCAGTCGCTAGTGGGGACCCCAGGATACCCACATCTCTCCGACTTGGCTCCAAATTTGTGGGTTCTTACCACCCCCTTTAGGTTTGATAATTCACTAGAATGATTCACCAAACTCACTGAAACATTTTCTATTACAATTTTATTGTAAAAGATACAACTTAGGAACAGCCAAATGGAAGAGATGCATAGAGCAAGGTCTAGGAGGAAGGAGAGATCTGGGGGGAAGTGGGATACACAGAGCTTCCATGCCGTCTCCTCCTCGTGGAACCCCGGCACGTCATCCTCCCAGCACATCAATATGTTCACCAACTAGGAGGCTCCCTCAGGACTTGGCTGTCCTGAATTTTGTATCAAGAGTTTTATTATGTAGGCACAGTTGATTAAATCACTGGCTATGAGATTGAACTCAATGGCCAGTTCCCTTCCTCTCCCTGGAGGTCAGGTGGCTAAAAGTTTTAGCCCTCTAATCATGTGGTGACCAGCCCTCATCCTGAAGTTCTGTAGCCACCCCCACTCATTAGCATAACAAAGATACTCCTCTCACTCTGGAAATTCCAAGGGTTTAGGAAGCTCTTTACCAGCCCCCCTCCCCAAGACCAGATACATCCTTTATATACCATAGGCTACTCCCTGGTCTTTGATCATGGGATCTTTTATAGCAAAAGGAACATACCTGACTGAGCATAACAGATACAGCAACACTTGGAGGAGTCAATGTGGAGTAAGGATAGGAAGCTATTAAACTCAATTTCCCAATACATTTTTTTTTTTTTTTTT